TAGTGTGGCAATAGATGACTGATACTGTGTGTGTGTGTGTATGTGTGTGAATGTGTGCATTTTATAATAAGCACATATTATTTGTGTAATATAAAATATGCCAACAGAATTTATTGGCTCCTCTCTCCTGTCTTCCTGCCCAGTGGTGGCACCAGGATGATTCTGGACATTGCTCATCCTAATTTGGAGTGACTTGGCTTCTCTCTTCATCCTTGGCCGTCAACCAGATCCAAGTCCTGGCTGTTCCCGCAGACTGTGTCTCCACTTGGCTCCCTCCCCTTGGTCTCTGCAGCCATCGCCCTGGGTCTGGATTGTTTCATGGGTTTCCCAGGGGGGTCTCACTGCCTGGATCCATCCTGAGCCAGGGGAGAGGACTACTTTGCAACATGTTTCCATTAAGATACCCTGCGCAGCAAGCCCTGAGTTTACACACACACACACACACACACACACACACACACACACACACACACATGTCACCTGGACATGTACCCCAGGGGTACAGATCGATTAGCTGTACAAACAGCAGCTGTAGACGGGTGGGGCTGCTGCTCCTTTCCCATCTGCTGGTCCTCCACCTTCAGGATCTCACTGCTTGGGTGTGAAAACCCCCAGCACTACACATAAGGGGAATGTTCCATTCAAAACACTGGGTTAGAAGTTGAGAAAGTGAAGGACTCTATGGTTAATTATTGTGGCTTCCAATTTAAAAGTGAAAGAGGACCTAATGACTCTGATAGATGAGAAGTGAGCTTTTTAGGCTATAACTTGGAATTAAGAAATTGAGTTTTGCCCTAACTGGTTTAGCTCAGTGGATAGAGCGTCGGCCTGTGGACTGAAAGGTCTCAAGTTCTATTCCAGTAAAGGGCATGTACCTTGGTTGCGGGCACATCCCCAGTAGGAGGTGTGCAGGAGACAGCTGATCAATGTTTCTAACTCTCTATCTCTCTCCCTTCCTCTCTGTAAAAAATCAATAAAATATTTTTTAAAAAAGAAAGAAATTGAGTTTTAACTGGTGGGAATGCAGACTGGTGCAGCTACTGTGGAAAACAGTATGGAGTTTCCTCAAAAAATTAAAAATGGAACTCCCATTTGACCCAGTGATCCCCCTTCTAGGACGATATCCCAAGAAATCAGAAACACCAATCGGAAAGGATATATGCACCCCTATGTTCATAGCAGCACAATTTACAATAGCTAAGATTTGGAAACAGCCGAAGTGCCCATCAGCAGATTAGTGGATTAAAAAACTCTGGTTGATCTACATAATGGAATACTATGCTGCTATAAAAAGGAACTCTTACTATTTGCAGCAGAATGAATGGACCTGGAGAGCATTATGCTAAATGAAATAAGCCAGACGGAGAAAGATAAATATCACATGATCTCACTCACTTGTGGTATATAATGAACAACATAAACTGATGAACAAAAATAGAGCTAGAAAAAAAATTTTAGGATATAATAGAAGTAATTCTGTTATTTGCAGATTTTTAATATTTCCTACAACTTTTGTAATCTTAGACTATGTTAGTATAGTTTGGTAGTATTATATTTAAATTTTTTTCTTAAAATATTAATGTTGGACTCTCATAGCCAGTTAGCCTGGAGGTCAAATCACCCCCAGTATTGCCAACAACAATCAAGGCTTAACTACAACAAGACTGCGCACAAAGACCACAAGGGGGTGCGCCAAGAAAGCATAAAAAATGCGGAGACAAAGAAACATGACAGAAATGGAGGATATAGAGCTAAAAACCGCACTTTTAAGGTCTTTCAATAATTTTCTAGAAACTGCCGATAAATGTAGTGAGATCCTCAAGAAATCTAATGAGACCCTCGATGTTGTGATAAAGAACCAACTAGAAATTAAGCATACACTGACTGAAATAAAGAATATTATACAGGCCGAAACCGGTTTGGCTCAGTGGATAGAGCGTCGGCCTGCGGACTGAAGGGTCCAGGGTTCGATTCCGGTCAAGGGCATGTACCTGGGTTGCGGGCACATCCCCGGTGGGGGATGTGCAGGAGGCAGCTGATCGATGTTTCTCTCTCATCGATGTTTCTGACTCTCTATCTCTCTCCCTTCCTCTCTGTAAAAAATCAATAAAAATATATTTAAAAAAAAAAAAAAGAATATTATACAGACTCCCAACAGCAGACCAGAGGAGTGCAAGAATCAAGTCAAAGATTTGAAATGAGAAGAAGCAAAAAACACCCAACTGGAAAAGCAAAATGAAAAAAGAATCCAAAAATACGAAGATAGTGTAAGGAGCCTCTGGGACAGCTTCAAGCGTACCAACATCAGAATTATAGGGGTGCCAGAAGATGAGAGAGAGCAAGATATTGAAAACCTATTTGAAGAAATAATGACAGAAAACTTCCCCCACCTGGTGAAAGAAATAGACTTACAGGTCCAGGAAGCGCAGAGAACCCCAAACAAAAGGAACCCAAAGAGGGCCACACCAAGACACATCATAATTAAAATGCCAAGAGCAAAAGACAAAGAGAGAATCTTAAAAGCAGCAAGAGAAAGAAACCCAGTTACCTACAAGGGAATACCCATACGACTGTCAGCTGACTTCTCAACAGAAACTTTGCTGGCCAGAAGGGAGTGGCAAGAAATATTCAAAGTGATGAATACCAAGAACCTACAACCAAGATTACTTTATCCAGCAAAGCTATCATTCAGAATTGAAGGCCAGATAAAGAGCTTCACAGATAAGGAAAAGCTAAAGGAGTTCATCACCACCAAACCAGTATTATATGAAATGCTGAAAGGTATCCTTTAAGAAGAGGAAGAAGAAGAAAAAGGTAAAGATACAAATTATGAACAACAAACATGCATCTATCAACAAGTGAATCTAAGAATCAAGTGAATAAATAATCTGATATACAGAATGAACTGGTGATTATAAAAGAATCAGGGACATAGAAAGGGAATGGACTGACTATTCTTGGGGGGGAAAGGGGTGTGGGAGATGCAGGAAGAGACTGGACAAAAATCGTGCACCTATGGATAAGGACAGTGGGTGGGGAGTGAGGGCGGAGGGTGGGGCGGGAACTGGGAGGAGGGGAGTTATGGGGGGAAAAAAGAGGAACAAATGTAATAATCTGAACAATAAAGATTTAATAAAAAAAGAAATATTAATGTTTATTACATGTAACATTATTATATTTAAAATCTTTTTCTTGAAAAAAATTACATGCAATGTGTTAAAACTGATACAATATTATTGTTTTCTTATGTTTTACATTTTTGCATAATTTATTCTGAAACTAGTATTTGAGTATTCTTGAACTGAAACGAGTATTTGAATAATCTTTAAAAAAAAGAAAGTGAGTTTTAGTGCTGAAACAAACTTTATTCCATCTTTTCTACTTCCTCATGTGAACAAACTTTCTCAATATTTACATCTATAAATATGAAAAACACAAAAAGAATTAATGTTGAGCCCCATCTCATTCTATCAAAAACTAACAGGCAGCCATGGATACATGAACTAAGTGGAATTAAAGAGACACCAGCCCAGCCAGCATGGCTCAGTGTTTAAGCATCGACCAGAGGTCACTGGTTTGATTCCCAGTCAGGGTGAGGGTGCATGCCCAGGTTGTGGGCTCAATCCCCAGTAAGCATCTGGTCTTTCCTGTTTTCTCTCTCACCATTGATGTTTCTAGTTCTCTCCCTCTCCCTTCCTCTCTGAAATCAATAAAAAAATATATTTTAAAATAATAAAAAAGTAAAGACATAGCTATCTCATGAATATTTGTTTTTGATTAAATTTTACATTTTTACATTTAATAATTCTTCAAATCTATACATCGTTTTATGATTTTTAATTAATTGTGTAGTAATAAAAATAATTATATGCCAACTTAGAAAAAAAAAGACACTTAGAGACTTATGTTCACAGAAAACAAATTTATTTCAATTTAAGTATATAATTTTGTTTGTGAGAGGTATGTTAGGGTAATCAGTAATCATTCAAACATAAAATATGTATTATGTGAGGATAAAATTCTGTGTGTGTGTGGGGCGGGGGGGAGGAGTAGACCAGAAATATGAGCTTATGGGGAATAAATGTAAATTCAACAAGTGTTGAAGATGAGCTAATTCATGTGTATTTAAAATAGGTGATGGAATACTATGCTGCTGTAAAAAGAAAGGATCTCCTACCATTTGCAACAGCATGGATGGAGCTGGAGAGCATTATGCTAAGCGAAATAAGTCAATCAGAGAAAGATAAATATCACATGATCTCACTCACTTTTGGATTATAATGAACAACATAAAAACTGATGAACAAAACAGATCCAGAGACAGAGAAGCATTGATCCGATGCTCAAATCTCAGAAGGAAGGCAGGGGAGGGTGGGGGCAAAGGGGAGAGATCAACCAAAGGACTTGTATGCATGCATATAAGCCTAACCAATGGACACAGACACCAGGGGAGTGAGGGCATGAGGCGGGGGAGGGCAATGGGGAGATAAGGACACATATGTAATACTTTAATCAATAAAGAAGAAACAATAATAAATAAAATTTTAAAAAATAGGTGATGGCTTATATGGAATCCATGGGATATTTAGATTTCATTAGATGCATGTTAAACGTCACTTAGGCAGTTTTATTTTTATTTTTAAAAAATCAACATGTATGTATTGGAAATTACATCCTTTGTAACTTAGAATTTATGAGAAATTTGAGATATCCACTGAACATCATGCAAGGAAGTGCGTGGGTATTTTTCAAAATGACTTTGAGGGGTGCAAAAGTGAGGAAACACTTTTGGGAACCGCTGCTGGGGGTGAGATGCCAGCACAGTTGTCTGACTCCCGCCTTCCCTGCGACCAGCTCTTTGAACTTGGGCAGGCCACCCAGGCCTTTGAGCTTGCCTGCCTGCAAGTGAAGGGCAGTCCAACACTGACCCCTTCAGGCTGTCCTGAGAGTACCCACGCCGGAGCCGGAGGAAGGAGTGTCTGCATCCGCCCGAGGAGGAAGGGGAGGAGACTGTTGACGTGGCTCCGGGACGGCAAGGACGAGATCCCGCCGCAGAAACGGAGTCTGGCTCCCACCGCCACATCAAATTACAAGAAAATTGCAGCGCAACCATCATCCAGAACGTCCTGAAATCGGGCCGAAGCCACATCGAGACGGTAGGAGGGGTGTAGCCGTGGAACCAGGCCTGGTACCGCGACCTTATTTGGCGGAAAAAAATTCTCTTAAAGGGCCAGCGCATGACTTAATTGGATTTTTTGGCTTTCAATTCTAGCACCGGGATAGCAGCTCGAAAGGCCCCGGGGACATATGGGGAGGAACTGAATTGTCTGGCATCAGGACCAGCGCTGGGGGAGGAGGCAGCTTTCTCCCAGACAAAAGCGTCGGCAGAGGCCACTGTTCCTTTGATAAGCCCTCCCTCCACCGAGCCAGCAGGGGAGCACCCCACCCAACTTTCAGACCTACTCAAAGTGTTTCCAGTGGCTTTTCCGTACGAATGACCTGTCTTGGCTCACACTTCAGACTTTCCTAACATCTCTCAAATAAGCAGCACCTGGCCTCAGCGTGCGGCACCTCTTGCTAAGTGGCAACCAGCCGTGTTTTGCAGCTTGGCCTCTTCTGAGCACCCCCAAGCCCAGCGCAAGCAGCAGCTATCTGCAGATCGCTTTGTAACTCTGGCCAGGTGGCCCCGGGCAGAACACAGGCAGGGTCTGGTCTTGGCCTGCACCTCCCGGAAGGTCCCAGAGCCAGTGCACCCAGTGGATAGCTTCAGACCACATTGAAGCACCAAACGACCTCCTCCACAAGGGACATCCTCAAGGGGTGGACTTAGCAGGCACTAGAGCTCTGCTAGAGTAAGTCCTGCTTTGTGTGTGTGTGTGCACAGTGACTGGGGAGGCTGTGCCACTGAACTCTACAGGACACCTACTATTGCCACTGAATCCTACGGGACACGTGTTATAGGCCACTCTGCCAAGCCTGGAGATACAGCAGCTCTACCTAATACATAGAAACAAACACAGAGAAGGTGCCAAAAGGAGGAGACAAAGAAACATGTCCCAAAGGAAAGAACAGAACAAAACTCCAGAAAAAGAACTAAGCAAAATGGAGACAAGCAGTCTACCAGACGCAGAGTTCAAAACACTGGTGATAAGGGTGCTCAGTGAGCTTAAGGAAACAGTAGTTGAACTTAGAGAGGACTTCAATAGCATGAGAAAGGACATGGAAACCATAAAAAAGGACATAGAAATCATAAAACAGAGCCAGTCCATGGTGGCCCCTGGCCAGCGGGCACCATCTATGGTGGGCACTGCGGCCCAAGGCGGGGTGTATGGCCCTTCCCCGGCCCAGCTTGCCCAGCTCGGAGCCTCGGCCCCCAGTGGGCAGCTGTGCATCTCCAACAAATTCCTGGCCTGGAGCGGGCTCCTGGAATGGAAGAGGCCCACTTCCTTTGCGGACACCAAGACCAAAGCGATGCAGTCACTGCCTTGCCAGGTCTACGTGAATCCCAGCGAGAACCTGAAAACAGCGCAGTGGCCCCAGAAGCTGATGGTGCATCTCATCCGTGGGCAGCTGCTGGTCTCCCTGGCCCCTTTGCTCCGGAAGTCAAGGAAGGTCCAGTTCCTTGTTACCAACAAAAACCTGGAGTCCGTCAAACTCTTCTACCGTCTCATGGACAAGGGCTATGTGGGCTGCATGCACCTCCCCCAGCAGGCCCCCGGGGAACCGTACCTACTGATGCTCATGTACTCATCCAAGAGAAAAGCCTTCCTGGGCCTCGTCCCCGAGGACCAGAAGGGCATAGTCAAGGGTATCCGGCGGATCATCAACAACCACAGACAGATGAAGCAGCAGCGGCTGGAGCAGCTGGGCGGGATGGAGGCACAGCAGGCCCCCCCAGGGCCCATTCTGGAGGACCAGGCACTCCAGCTCTGCCCCCCACAGCCTGAGCCTCAGGGCACTGTGGGGGCCCCTGAGGCCGAAGGGCAGGCCAAGCCCCAAGATGCTGCCCAGAACCCCCCAGGCACTACCGAAGGCCCCCCTGGAGCAGCTCCCAGCCCACCCTCTTCTGGGCCTGTCCTTCCAAACCAAGGAAAGCCTTGAACTGTCACGGGGAAGGAGCCTAGGGAGACATGCGTCCACTACATGTGGATCCTGGAGCACAAAAAGGACATTTAGGGAAACCGAGGGAATCTGAATCAAGATAGACCAGTCAGTAACCTCTCAACACTGTTTCACTAATTGTTGCAAAGATACCATACTCATCTAAAATGTTAAGAATAAGGGAAACGGGTGGGGGGTGGAGGTGGGGCTTTATAGGGACTCTACTATCTTTGTAATTTCTCTGTAAACCTAAGACTTAGAATAATAAAGTTTATTTTTAAAACGTCTTCAATTCATATGTGCCCACACATATTAATCACTGACCTTACGTTTTTGTGTATTCTTTCGGAGGTTTGGTGAACAAACACCAGCAAATGTGAATATACCTCCCCCCTCCCCCCTACAGAAGTGGTGACCCCTCCCTCCCTGCTTTCCTCCCTCATTCCAAATCAGGCATAGAGAGTCCCTGTTCTTATTTACAACTGGGAAGACATTCTTGGGAACAGTTCCCTATTGATGGACACTAGCTGTTTCCAATTGTTTTCAGTTCTGATACAACTTCAGGGAATAACCTTGGCCTTGGACGAGTCTGTCTGTTGGACACCTTCCCAGTCATGGGACTGCTGGACCTGGCAGTTTGTAATTGTGGGAGGGCCAGTGGGTTTTAACTCACGTCCATCAGCGCTCCTCGGGCCTGGAGATGGAGTGAAACTGCCGTGACACCCCAAGTTTGCAGTCCACAGGGGTCAGGGACCCTGCAAAGATTCCTATGAGTGTGTGTGCACATGTGGGTTCCCCTCTAGCCCCTGCCAGGGCCTCTGCCTTCCTGCCCTGGGGCAGGAACTAGGGCCCTAGCAGCCTGACCCCAAGAATACCTCCCCTTGGGTGGGGAGCGTGGGTGGGAGAGTTTTCTGGAGGATTGGGAGGTCTTGGGGTTCCCTTGGGGACCATGAGGGTGGGAAGTTCCACCCAATCCTCCAGGTCTGGGGTCAGCACAACCTGCCTCCATCCATGAGGCCTCCTAAGGAGACATTAGGATGCCCTAAGGCGCCCACCACCCCTCCTCTAGCTACCCGGGGCCTCCCCTGCCCTGGGTCTCACAGACCTCCCCTCTAGGGTCGCTCTCCACCCCCTCCCATTATCTCTCCCCCCACTCCCAGGAATTCCAGTGCTTGCTCCTACCATAATATTTTCTCCACCTCCTTACACTCATCGCCATTCACTTCCCTTAACATCCCACCTTAGCTGTCACATTCTGGGTGATTTAAAAAATCCCTCTCCCAGCACTTTATAGTAAAAATGTTAGATACACAGAAACGTTGGAAGGATTGCACCGTGGATATTCGTACCTCTGCCACCTAACTCTGCACTGACATTTTACTACTCGCAGTCTTCCTAATCGCTCCACCTCCGTCCTTAGGTCCCTTGGCCCATTGAAGCGTATCGTATGTCCGTCATTTTTAATTTATTATTATTTTTTAGGTAAAACATAGAGCGAAATATGCAAATCTTAAGGATGTCGCAGTCTGGCTGATTTTAGACGGCACGTGTATTTATTTTAACATATAACAGGGGGAAACCCCACACGTTAATGATAGTGACCCCAAGCTTCCTTGAACAAGGAATGTATTTAAATGAGCTGTGCTAAGGGAGGGGGGGGGGGGGGGAGAATAGTAGAGATGGGGCGGGGCTTCCAACAGGCTGCCGCGGTCGCTTCCGGAGCTGCGGACGCCTCTAAGAGTAGCCTCGGCCTGGGGCGCCGGGGACTCGGCTGGAGTGGGTTTGCCGTGGGAGCGAAATAGTGTGCGTGTGTATGTGCGTGTGTTTTACTGTGCAGTTGCGCGCCCCCTTCCAACTCTTTGAGGCGGGGGGTGTCCCTGTGAACGCAGCACCGGGAACACAGTAGGTGCCCAATAAGTATTTCCCGCGATCACACCGGTGCAGACGCTTTGCAAACACTATACGAAAATCAGAGTTTACTATTGCTGGGAGAAGCGCAGTCTTCCGTGTTGCCCTTCCCAGCGCAGCGCCGTCTAGCAAGCCGAAGTGTTTGCAAACAGACCCGCAGGAGGAGGAAGACCCGAGGCCGGATGGGCGCTTGGGCCAGGACGTCCTCCCTTTCGAACTCTGGGGGCGGAGAACTCTCTGTCCCGCGATCCGCTGTAGACGAACAAGACCAGAGTTCTGTGCGCATGCGCACAGGGCCGCTGGGCCAGACTCATTACTATACAGCCTAGAGAGCCCTCTAGGTGCCTCGTTAGCGCAGTAGGTAGCGCGTCAGTCTCATAATCTGAAGGTCGTGAGTTCGATCCTCACACGGGGCACAATACTTTTGTTCGCTCTAGGTCCGTCTCCTGCTGGAAAGGGGTATTTTATTTGCTCGCCTGTGGACTGGGAGACACACCGAGCGTCCTCACTTTTTCACTTTGAGGTCACCCTTCTGTCGGCTGACGCTCGGTTCAGCCTCTCCTCTCCGAAGTGCCCGTGTTGGGGAGGTTTCACTGCTCTGCAGGCTCCCGGCTTCTGGGCCGGGGTCGGAGGACCAGTGCGAAGGCTAGAGCAGGCGATAGGGGGGGACAGGGACATCTGCGCAAAACTAGCCCGTGCTGGGTGGGCCGGGACCCAGCTGAGCCTCCGTGGAAGAGCCCCATCCTCACCACCTCCTTGCTGCGGCGGGGGTGGCCCAGGAGGGAGCACCCCTGCCGTCCCACGCTGCACCATTGGCCGTCGCGGGGGACATGCAAAGCCCGGGTTAGCGAGTTCATTTGTCATAAATCCACTCCTACATTCCACCCCCTAAGCCTTTGGGTACCTTCATTCGCATCATGCCAGGGAAATTCTGGCATGTCATCCGGATTAAATGGAGGCCAACCTGAGTCCAAATTTCTGTCAGTTAACTGTTGGAGTTCCTCCCAATGAGTGTGCCAGTTACCATCTTGCTGCCTCTCAGCTCCGATGCACTCTTCAGTACCTGCACCCCAATAACGGAGCTCTTCAAGCACTTCTCCTTACAGTATGCACCCTATCTCATCGTTCATATTTCTCTCTCTTCCTCTCTGAAATCTCTCTCCCTCTTCCTTCCTCTCTGAAATTATATATATATATATAGAAATATATATATATATAGAAAATGAAGTATTATAATGACATAAAAAGATGTGTGCAGTTGCAAAACCAATTATGGTATAAATTCTAGTAAAAGAGGACCTGAAGTAGAGGTCAGAAACTGGCAATATACAGCTGATTCTGGCTGGCATAATCACAATATTTCATTTTCCAATTACAGTTGACATTCAATACTATAGTAGTTTTAGGTATATCGACATTTATATACCTTACAAAGTGATTCCCCCAGTAAGTCTAGTACCCACCTGGCACCATATTACAATACTAGAGGCTCGATGCATGAAATTCGTGCAAGGGGCTCGGCCCTCACAGATGTGGCGGCTTGCCTCAGCCCTTGCAACCCCAGCTTCATCCAGGTCATTCAGCTGTCCGGTCATATTAGCATATTACACTTTTATTATTATAGATCAGGGGTCCTCAAACTACGGCCCGCGGGCCACATGCAAATACAAATATTGTATTTGTTCCCATTTTGTTTTTTTACTTCAAAATAAGATATGTGCAGTGTGCATAGGAATTTGTTCATAGTTTTTTTTAAAACTATAGTCTGGCCCTCCAACGGTCTGAGGGACAGTGAACTGGCCGCATGTTTAAAAAGTTTGAGGACCCCTGTTATAGATTATTGACTATGTTCCCTATGCTGTACTTTATATCCATGAGAATCACAATATTTTAGAATTTGAATGCTTTTATGTGAGCAAATTCTAGTTCACCCAAGTTCCATCATACCCTATTTATTTTATATCCTGTGACTTCCTGCTGCCAATCATACCAGCATGAGCCATTAAGGCACGTTTGGAACTACCTGAACATAAACAAAAAATTAGGCCAAGGAAAGTGCTCTTAGGAAACCAATGGCAATAGTTCAGAACTTTGACTATTGGACAAAAAGAGAGCTCTCTGCTTACTGAAAATATTTTACCATTAAGATTATATTGTGTGACCACCAGAAAAAAGAATTCCTACTACATATTGCACATCACTATATGTCAAGCACTGCCCAGGAACTTTATGTCCATTATTTTATCTAATACTCCCATCAAGTCCATGAGCGACTTCCCCCTCCTTTTGGAAATGGGTGAAGAGAAGTAATTCGCCCAAGAGGATGAAGCAGCCTTGTGTGGAGCTGAGCAGGGAGAGGGGCAGAGGATTTCTGCAGCCAGGAGAAGCAGAGACGCTAATGTTATGACTGCGGAGTTAGCACAGCAGGGTCACTGCAGAGAGGAGACAATTTCAGCCGCACCACACAGTCGATGCTCTAGTCCAGTGGTTGGCAAACTCCTTAGTCAACAGAGCCAAATACCAACAGTAAGTACAACGATTGAAATTTCTTTTGAGAGCCAAATTTTTTAAACTTGAACTATATAGGTAGGTACATTGTTATTAACTTAATTAGGGTACGTACTCCTAAGGCTTAGGAAGAGCCACACTCAAGGGGCCAAAGAGCCGCATGTGGCTCGCGAGCCACAGTTTTCCGACCACGGCTCTAGTCTCTCTCAGTCCCGGCTATATGGGTGTAGAGAGGGTTCCCGCTCTTTATCTCAGTTTAGCTTTAAAATCAACCCTCATCAACTAAAGTCAGGGAGGTTTATGCTGGTTCTTACAACCTGAAAGAGCCTAACACAAGTCTGAATATCTCTGGAGAGCGGCTACAGCGTTTGGACAGGTTCGATCTGCACTGCTCCAGAGAACAGGCCTTAATGAGAGACAGGTTTTCAATAGTTCAAGCCTGGGACTAATGAGAGGGCAGGATCCTCTCGTGGCAAAGCCACGTGCAAGTCCCAGCACAATTATAACCAAAGGCTATGGTTGTAAGCTTGGCCTTATGGTCCGGACCTGTGGTCCCACGTGGCTGAGTGATATAGGCTGCGGGAGGTGCAGCAAGTAAACAAAGCTTGATCAGGTGCATGTAATTGAGTAGATTCGAAACCCGCGAGAAGGTTGGAACCATGTCCCTACTTTGCCTCGTGGAATCTGGCTATAAAATAAAGACTCGGCTTACAGGCCTCGGCACTGTCTCTCCATCAGTGAGGGCAGCGTCCCCCGCAGCGCCCAGCTTTCTTCTCTTTTCTGTCTTTTCTCAATCCTTCACCGTCCCCTCTCAGGCTCACCAAACCTGGCTGTGCTGGTGCGACACAAATACCTTCAAAAATTTTTATTGTGAGAAGTACCAGAAGCCATTTACAAGCCAAAAAGCATAAGAATTAAATAGAATACATAATTTTTCTACACACAGTTTTCTATACAAAAGGTTGATCTTTACAGGAATTTAAATAATCTAAAAATCAGTATCACTAATTGCAAAATAGGTATTTCTTTGACTCTTTCAAGGTGACCAGCCTCCTATGTGGCCAAAAGATGAGGTGCTTGACATCGGCTACGAGCCTGCGCGGTGAGTCTCTGGCGAAGGTTTCTCACTCTCTCCAGAAGACCCCGTTCCATGGTGTCCCACTGCATTTTTCTTTGGTTTAAAGAAACTTGAAGACAAAATTTAAAATTAACAATAGTTTAATCTTCTGATGTTAGCAAGGACATAGCATTTCTTTTAAAAGTAAACATGTTGTAAAAATCAGTAATGAAATAAATATAATAAAAACCAAATTTCTTAAGTAAAAGCCTGACATATTACCTTGCCCTACGTAGTTCCATTTACAAGATATATATATATACACACACACACACACACACATACATACATATATAATTTGTTGAACTGAATGAATACTATCGGACAATTTAACCACTTTTGGTTATTAAGCACTTTTTCCAATTTGGAGGTACAATCTTTTAAATTAGCAACAAAATCTGTCCAAAGAAAATTTGAGTTCTCTGTAACAACAGTAAGTTTCCTCACTAGGACGCTTAATGTAATGAAAAGGCATTCCACGTTGCCCAAATTAATATCGTACGCACCATGAGCACTTCCAATGATGAAATAAAAATGAATAAATAAAATGCTTTTAATAGTGGCTAACACAGGGAGAGGCCAGAATCAAGATTAAAATATTACAGAGTCCAAGTGTCAATCATGCTGAGTTAGAGGGGCCAGTAATACTGGAATTTGAAAAAGAAATGCCTTAAGAATACACTTCTCTGAAACTCAGTTACATAGTCAAACAGCTTCAATTTCTGAAACTTTTTTTTCTTCCAAGCAATATAACTTTTATGCTTCATTTTGCTGCCAAGCAACCAAACTTTATCAAATGTCCCCAAGTCAATTTTAGAATTTAGAATTATCTCATTAAAAAGTCCTGACGTGTCAGAAGAGACAAGAGCTGAGAATCTCTTATTTTTGTTTGACTTACATATGACTTTTTGTTTAATTCCTGTTCTAACACAGAGCTTATAGGTGATATAAGAGTATGAGTTAGCAAAAATATTTTACACAATGCTGGATTCTCATGACTTGTTATTGGGTGCATTTCTTATAAAGCTGGTTTTAGTGGACAATATATAAAAATTTGTTCTTCTAAAACAGGGGTGGGGGGTGTCTGGTTTGCAGGCCGTATAAGGCCCTCGAAATCATTTGGTCTGATCCTGACAAGGCATTAGGGGTGAGTTTATTAAATGTTTGACCAAATATAGCAGGCTAATATTTAAGTTGATAATTTTGCATGTCCAGCGAATGATGTTATAAATATCCAAATGGCACCGGGCAGAAAAAAGGTTCCCCACCCCTGTTCTAAAAAGAACTCAAAAGACCTTGTAAAATTCTGCTTCATCTATATGGTAGTTTTATTGAAAAAGTCAGTTTAAATAACGTCTAACAGAGGTTCCTGTCCCCTCCCTCCCCCCCCCCGCCCCTTTTAAAAACTCATAGACACAGAGAACAGAGTGACAGCTGAGGTGGGGTGAAGGTGCTGGGTGAAACAGGTGAAGTGATTAAGCAAAAAAACAGACAGACACAGACAATAGCCTGGTGATTACCAGAGGAAGGCAGGGTGAAGGGAGGTAGAAGGGGGTGTAGGGGGAATAAATGGTGACCAGACTATGGAGTGTTGAACACACTGTATGTTATACAGATGATGTACTACAGAACGGTACACTTGAAACCCATTTAATAAAAATGTAACCCAACAAATTCATTACAAATGTATGTTAAAAAACAACCAAACAAACAAAAACAAAATCCAAGTCAAGTACTTTACTGTGGAAATTTTTAGTTCCTTTATGGGCTGGTGCTGTGACTATATTTCCCTAAGATGTTTCCATTCCACCCCTTCCAAAAATGAACAAAACCTCTAGTGAATCAAGTCAGGGATCTACCCTCACCTGCTCAGCATGAAGCCGCTAGCCTCCGGCCATCTGACTTTAATAAGTGCTGTCCTTTGACAGTCTGCTCAATGCTGCTCTGCCTCTGTATCCATTTTTGTTCATCAGTCTATAATGGTCCTTATTATCCATACTTTCAAACTACAGTGGGAAGCCTGGGGAGGGTTGGGGGGGGGGGGGTAGGAGATCAACCGAAGGACTTGTATGCATGCATATAAGAATAACCAATGGACACAAGATACTGGGGGGTGGGGGAGGCCGGGGGAACGTCAAGGGGGGGAAAAAAGGAGACATGTGTAATACTCTTTGTAATACTTTAAGAAATAAAACAAAATTAAATTAAAAAAAATAATAAGTGCTGTCCTGGCTGCAGTGCCCACAGCAAACAGGTTTTCAATGGTTGTTGGGAGCCCAGCCCAGAACAGAGGCAAGAAAATTCAAATGCGTAATAGCTTTGAAAATGAATGCTGAGGTTTTCTCTTCACAAGGATGTAAAACAGTCAGGAATACCATTAATTTAGTTAGGGACAGACTTCTATTGTTCCGGGTGGTGCTGGTGCTAAAGAAGTGGAGAAGCGTTAATGATGTTGGCCGACTGCCTTCACTTGGGTTTTGGTCTGATCCCGTTGTTTCCCCAGATGGAGATTTGAGAATCTTGCTGCCTCCATTTTAGGATTTCCATCCCCAATGCCCTTGGAAAATGGCATCAACATGCCATAAATGTAATTTAAGTCACAATCTTGCTTAAATACTACTACATTTAACATACTGGAAGAAATCTTTCTTGTTTATCAACTTACTCCGAGTTGAGGAATCCATTTCAGAAATGTCATCTAACTGTGAGGTTCTAGGCAAACGGCTTGAGGCAACCCGTTCATTTTGGCATCTGGGCACTATTGCTACAAAAGTGAGGAGACAAGAGGGTGCTTGGGAGTGAGTAGAAAGCCTTTATTAATTCCAAGTGGCCCTTAGTTCACCAAAATTGTTGAGGAGAAAAGCCCCTTACTTTTCTGTTCTGAGAAGACTGCTGGGAAGAAGGTGAGACCATTCAAAAGGCCAGGAAGTGCAGTTAGAATTAAGAGCTGAGCAGAGGTTTTGGTAAAGTGCTCTGAAACACCTTTAACCCAAACAAAACGCCTACAAACAACTCAAAAATATGGCTGTTAGGACAGAGATGCCACACATTTATTGGAAGGGATTATGAAATATAATTAGCAAGCTTTCCCCGAGAACAGTGAGCTATCACTGCTGGCTTCAACCAGGCAGGGCCTAATCACAAAATACACAGGAATCAGAACCACCAATAGGCAAGTTTTACCTGAAACCTTCTTAGGTAGTAAGCAGAGCAGTGCCCACCCCTAGCTGGTACCCCTCCCCATTTTTAATCAATCACTCCCTTCATTTCAAAAGTTACACTCACTCTCCAGCTGTGCTCTTACATTTTCCTGCCTCCTACAGCTGTACAGCCAACAACACACCCAAGTCTTTTGATTTTTCATTCTAACGTCACTATGACCGCCCCTTCTTTTCTGCTCCCATCCCTAGGGTTGCCTCCGTGAGTCAGGCCCAGAATGTGTGGGTCACGCTCATTAAGGTGCCTGCTTTTAGCTGCTCTCAAGAGCTTTAGCTAACAGTTTTAACTCAGCTTTAGCTCAATGAGTCACTAAGATAATCTGACTAATTACCAAACGGCTCATTTGAACTGGTGTGGGGATGGCATGAGAGTCATCTTCAACTACCTGAGGGCTGTCACGTGGCAGAGGTGGGAAATGCCACCTGCATTTCTCCAGAGAACAGGCCTTAGTGAGAGAATTAAAAATCAGTAAGAACAGCAGAGTCAGCGGGGAAAACTTTCAGGTGACATCTGCATAAAATGGAATAAAGCACACAGTTTTACTAAAATAAACTAGAAATGGAACTTTGTAAACATGAAGGGGAATGCCACGGACCATAGAACCATGGAAGAAAATAGAATTCCACAGATGGCTGAGAAAATGTTTCTTTATTGAAGCTGTTTCTTTGACAGCCCCACTGCCTAAGCCAGTGATGGTGAACCTTTTGAGCTCGGCGTGTCAGCATTTTGAAAAACCCTAACTTAACTCTGGTGCCGTGTCACATATAGAAATTTTTTGATATTTGCAACCATAGTAAAACAAAGACTTATATTTTTGATATTTATTTTATATACTTAAATGCCATTTAACACAGAAAAATCAACCAAAAAAATGAGTTCACGTGCCACCTCTGACACGCGTGTCATAGGTTCGCCGTCACTGGCCTAAGCCTACTCCTTCTGAACAAAAAAATGGTGACTAGGGTGACCAGGTAGGGATTACCTTTTAGCTGAGCAATAACTTGAATAAAAGTGCCAAAACACACCTCAAGGATTTATCCACAATAACGGACCGTATCATTTAAATGAATCTGTAACACCATGGAGAGAGGAAGGCATTCACGGTACTCACCCTTATTATGTATGTGTTCAGCGTGTTCCAAAGCATCGTCTATCTCCTTCTCTAGAAACCACTTTCTAGATGCATCTGAAAGAGCAGAAGCTTTCTTTGCTGATTTCAGCTGAAAGTCTTTTTCTTCAGCTTCCTTCCACTAAATATAAATAAGGGGGTGGGGAGAGGGGAAGTCACATGAACATTGTGGTAATGCACGTTCCTGCAGTGGAAGAAGCCCCTCTGTCCCCTGTTCTACTTCCCTTTGTACTGCCCAGGCACGTGGCCCTGTCTGGAATCGGGTAAGTGGGTGCCGGCCTTGGCCAGGGCAGCTGAGGACTTGGAAAGCGGAGGCCCTTCTGATGTCACTCAGTACCAGGTGCACAAACAGGTCCCAACTGTCACTGGGTTAATGCATTTCAACACATTTCAAATCTCAAGTCTTATAAGGTTAAGTTTTAGTTTTTTAAACGAATGACAACTGTTTTATTTAGTTTGAATGCTATGCCTTAATAATAAAGTCTCTAAAATTCAGAGGATAATTTTTTTTTACTTTCAGTTTCATTGAGAAATAACTGGCATATGTCACTGGGTAAGCAAGCCATACAGCGTGATGGTGTGATTTACGTATATGGTGAAGTGATTAAAACAGGTTCAGCTAAATCCATCTTCTCATATAGACACAACAAAGAGAAAAGAAAAGAAAAAGATGTTTTTCTTCTGATGAGAACTTTTAGGATTCACTCCCTTCACAACTTTCCTGTCTATCATACATCAGCTGCCAGCCTTGGCCATCATGTTGTGGAGAATTAATTCTCTGCCCAGCTCTGGCATACTTAATGACTGCAGGGAAGTCACGAAATCACTACTAGCCCCTATTTTCTTCTTCCTAAAGTGAGAAAACAATAACCTTACAATGAGCTTAAAGGGTAAAGAACATAATCAATGTGAAAAACTATATAATTCCTAAGGTTTACCTATGTCCTAGCAATGCTACAGGTTTTATACACAAACTTTAAAAAAAAAAATATATATATATATATATACATATATTTTTTTTTATTTCAGAGAGGGAGGGAGAGGGAAAGATAGAAACATCAATGATGAGAGAGAATCATTGATCAGCGGCCTCTTACACAACCCCCACTGGGGGTCACGCCTGCAACCTGGGCATGTGCCTGACCAGAACTGAACCTTGACCTGGTTCATAGGTCAACACTCAACCTCTGAGCCACCTCGGACAGGCTACATACAAACTTTTTATATGCCAAATGTCTTTTATAGAAATGCTAATGAATTAAATATGCATTAAATAACAAACTTTAAAGAGTCATTGGGGCCAGGGAGGACCATAGAGGTCCATCCCTTTCATGTTACTGATGAGGAGACTGAGATTGAGTAATCCTCCAAGACACAGTAGTCAAGCTAGAACCCAGGACACTGGACACAAAGGCAGACCTCTGCATGCCATGAAAAGCTAGGATTCTTCGTGTACTCTCAAACACACCATTTTACCCACAGGAGAGTAATATCTAATTTTACAGTCTAGCCCCAGTGCCAGCAATCTTTACTTTGCAGATGTGGGATTTCATCACCACTTTCCTGAGAAGAACCTCAGTGATCTGGCATCACTCCCACCCCTTCCTGTCCATGAATGAAAGGGTTATATCCTGAGGTTGGGTAGGAGGAAGATGAGTCTGGAACAGTGACTTGAAGGAAATAGATTATGGAAAGCTGTCAGAATAGAACTATGATCTAGCAGCAGAAAGAGGAATGAATGAAAGCCAGTTATCTTCTTAGGGAAGGCCATTGTGTCTGCTACATTCATAGAGCACAGGTCCCCGAGTTGTTCAGGGAGGATCAACCAAAAGATACATTATGTGTGATATATACTCTTAAGTAATCTCCTCAAAACCCGTTCTCTGGTTCTTCTTTGGGAATAGAATTCTAATTCTATTTGGGATGATAATGCTCCCTGCTAAAAAGACTTCATTTCCAAAATCCTTTGTAGCCAAATGTGGCTAGAAATGCATCTGGGAATTCTGGAAAGGAGTTCTGGGAGATGGAGTCTCTTGCACTTCTGTCCTACCTTCTTCTTGCTGAATGGAATGTGTATGGGAGGCTGAAACCCATCATCCTGGATGGTTAAGTTCGCCTTGACAATGAGAGACGCATACCAGGAAGTAGGTAGAAAAGCTGGAGGAGGCAATGTCCCGATGGCCTTAAGTCAGGATACAACACCCGACTGCCTGCCTCCAGACGTCTCTCATGTGAAAAAGAAAAACTTCTCTCTTGTTTATCATCACTTTTATTTTGGTTTTTGTTACTAGCAACTACATATAATTCTTAACTCTTCCAAATCCTCTACATTGTAAGTATAAAGAATTAGGTAAAGTAGTAATATTATGCAATCAGCCAGGACAAATTCCACAAGCTAAGAAGCTGAGACACACTAATGAAATGGGAAGATGCTTAGTCAGTGTTAGGTAGCATCCATCAATATTGGACTTCTCGCCGAAACCGGTTTGGCTCAGTGGATAGAGCGTCGGCCTGCGGACTCAAGGGTCCCAGGTTCGATTCCAGTCAAGGGCATGTACCTGGGTTGCAGGCACATCCCCAGTGGGAGATGTGCAGGAGGCAGCTGATCGATGTTTCTCTCTCATCGATGTTTCTGACTCTCTATCTCTCTCCCTTCCTCTCTGTAAAAAATCAATAAAATATATTTAAAAAAAAATATTGGACTTCTCTGAGCAATACTATTAAACTTAGATCATCTTTAAGATATTTCCCAACAAAAAATTACTTGGTTTGATGTTTTTGTCATTTGGTTATGTAATATCTCCAAATTTAAATAATTAGTAACAAGATTATAACATTATTCTTACTTTTTTAGCTTCATTCTGCATCATTGCATTCAATACTTCTATTTCTTTCCTTCTGTTTTCCCGAAGGAGTTTGGCCATTTCCCGGTAAGATTCATTTCGTTGTTGATCACTCCACCTTTGTTTTTGTAAAGCCTGAATTTGCCAGTCAGTATTTAGACAGGCTTGTTCAGCTTTTGCCAAGTTTTCTTCAATTAACTAAGAAAAAATTGTACATTTCAGAAACAAGACCAGACTATATATAATTATGGCATACCCACTTAATGTATCCAGGGCAGCTGCTCGTAACCCTGGGTGCATATTCAATCACCTCTGGGTGTTTAAAGCAAACTGATGTCCAGGACCTACCACAAATCAACTAAATCAGTCTCTGGGGTGGCTGGGCATTGGTCCTTTTACAAAACTCTTCAGCCCGGCCGTAGTGGCTCAGTTGGTGCACCAAAAGGTTGCCGATTCGATTCCTGGTCAGGCACATACCCGGATTGTGAGTTCGATGCCTGGTCGTTTATAGAAGGCAACCTATCGATGTTTTTCTCTCTCTCCTTCCTCTCTCTAAGCATGTCCTTGGGATCAGAGGGGGAGATCTTCAGGCGACTGGAATGTAAGGTTGAGAACTTCTAGGCCAGCCGTGGGCAAACTACGGCCCGCGGCCGGATCCGGCCTGTTTGAAATGAATAAAACTAAAAAAAAAAAAGACCGTACCCTTTTATGTAATGATGTTTACTTTGAATTTATATTAGTTCACACAAACACTCCATCCATGCTTTTGTTCCGGCCCTCCGGTCCAGTTTAAGAACCCATTGTGGCCCTCGAGTCAAAAAGTTTGCCCACCCCTGTCTAGGCTAAGGGATAGGTGGGATTAAACAATTTCATGTTTCAAACCCTTGAAAAGGAGTCAGGAGAGCCCATTCTTACAGACTGGTCAAAAATCTTTAAGGAAAAAGATGGTAGGAATATTGTAGGGTTATCAGCCAGGAACTGTTGCAGAACAGAAGGTAAGAAACTCCTACACAATTCTTGGCTTTTGCCAGGCCCTGCCACCGACCCACTTAGCATTCTGTTTAAGGGATAATAGAGAACATTCTTTTGTGAAGATCTCATATTCTATTTCAATTCATTTAAGCCAGAATTTCTCCACAAGAAATTTTATAAGTTTGGGAAGTTTTCTTAAAGAGTCACAATGTACTATATCCTCAAATTTGGCATGAAAAACAATATGACAGAATTTCCAATATTATTTGTCACCTTCCATTTTACTGAATAATAGTTATTAATATTTTAGAGAATATACTTTGAAACTACTGGCTTGTATGTCAGGTAGAGACCTGATATCTTGTCACTAAATTTACTCAGGGACAATATCTGAGACCGTAACATAGTAGAATACTACAATTTATAGTTATTCTTTCCTTTGCATTTTTTCTAAGTCTTAAAATTCTCAGAGTACAAAAGACATGTATATGGCTGCCAAAGAAATATCTGCAAATAAAATGTGAGATTCTAGAAACTACGCTAACTGAAACAAAGACATGAATTCTTTCTTTCACAATGAGGGCGGATGGAAATTCCTCCCTTTATGTGTACACTAAATTGAACACATTTTTACCTTTTGGGCTTTTTGGTTCTGTGTTTGATCTGCTTCTATCAATCTATGAAATGAGCGTTCTTCAAGATCTACTTTTCGTCTATAGGCATCTATATCTTCTCTCATTTCTTTTGCAACAGTTTCTTGATTTCTAGTAAGATTCTGTTTAAAAAACCATTTGTTAAAAAAAAAAAATCACCAATCCATAATAATGCTAGAATACAAAAATGACTTTCCTTTTTTCCAGATTTCTAATATGCACACAAATAAAAACTGTAGTCATCTAATTTTCAAAGTAAAAAACAAACATCAGTGACATCAGTGAAAATAAAAGAATAAGGAGCTCTGAAAATTCTCTCATCCACAGGGGCACTGAGAACCCTGGCAAAACCAACTTCTTCAAAACTCCGGGAATTAACTGAAGGCCCGCAGCAATCGGGGAGCACTTATCCATGGCTGAACCTTGGTAAGAACAGCAAGCATTATGGCATTTTTAACTTTAATTATTCCTATGTCCACCCCAACCCTAAGCTCTACATTAGCCTGGAAAACCAGCAGCCTGGCAGCCAATGGAGGGGGCAAATGGAGTTGGCGCTCCTTCAAACTCCCATTCCCAGAGAACTGTCATCATCTGACCTGTCAATGGTTCTGAAAGACCCCACTCCCAAGGCTGTCTTTACTAGTATTTGACCTGACGAGGAACTCAACTACTTTGTCCAGCCTTTTTCCTGGGGACATTTGCTAAAAACAATCAGGGGAAACTGTTGAATGTATTGGCTGCCTGAGGCAATGGATCTGAGTTAGTATAAACAGGCTAATCAAAAAGCTTTATAGGGAAAGATGGGGAAGTGATGTCCACAGGGGGCTTTGAAAAGCTCTGATAGATCCTGGGACTCTAGAAGGCCATGTACAAGTGTAAGGCTGTGCACATGCCAAGGGCTATATGAATGCTCAGACCTCAGAAGTTCCTAAGCTGTCAACTCTGGTGAACTGAGGCTTTGCACAACCAGAAAGTGGAATCTAAGACAGAGTTGTAAACTATGTAAGTGTTCCAGGGCCACCAACATGATGTACACAGAGTCCCTTGGCAAAGACTAGAGGCTAACTGGTTCAAAGCATTTAAGGAAATATCTGTCCAATCACTAAGCTACCTGAGGAGGGACTTAAGTGGCTACATATGACAAAGACTGAAAACAACCCAAATATCCATCAACTGATGAACGAATCAACAAAATGTGATCTGTCCATACAATGGAATATTTATTATTCAGCCGTAAAAATAATAAAGTGCTGACTCAAGCTGAATCTGAACCTTGACTGAACCTTGAAAACATTATGCTACCTGAAAGAAACTGTCACAAAAAATCACAAATTGTAAGATTTCATTTATATGAAATGTCCAGAATAGGTAAATACAGAGACAGAAAGTAAATTAGTGGTTGCCAGGGCAGAGAACAGGAGTGAGTGTTAATGGGTACAGGTGTTGGGGGTGGGGGTGGGATAGTAAACAGTATTAAAGAAGATTTAAGTTGAAAAAGCAAATTACCAATTGTTCATAGCAAATAACCTCACTCACCCTTATTGATGATAGTTAGCAGTTACTTTCTAACAGAGTTTTTTCTACTTTTCTAACTCTCTATTTGCAGCATAATTACCATATTATTAGTTTAAAATAAAAATGTTTTTCAATTATAAGCAGAGAAGATATATGTATGAAGAAGTTGATTGCCAAAAATTCTAAACCACTTAAACTACCAACAGAAGAAAAACAGTTTAAGTTATGGCTCATTAAAGCCACTACAAATGGTAACTACAAAGATATGCAGCATTTAGGAAAAGAGTTTGATGAGGCAAAAAATAAAAACAACAAACTGTATATTCAGACATTTTTGCTACCTTACAATCCTAGATGACACTACGTTTTTCTTAAAAAAAAAACAACACATTAAAAAACCATGAAAAATACAGTCTAAAAAGAGTTTGTATGAACCCTGTTTTTCTTATATTGGAAATAGCTGATTTATACCTTCTCATAAAGTCTTTTTTGTGATTCAAGTTCCAGATGTCTCATTTCTAGGTCTTTGGCTGTGGTAGCAATTTCTCGATCTCTCATATTTACCTACATTCAAAGAAAACCACAAACTGTCAATACCAAAAAGAATTTACAAAATAATTTTTGTTTACTAGATTTAGTAATCTTTTAATCTGAACAACCCACTACAAGTGTTTAAAATAACAGCTACTGGGTTTTTGAAACCAGAGTAATTGATATTATATTAACATTCACTGTGGAATCTACGAATAATGTCGGAGTTAAAATTAAGCCTGATTTTCTAAAAAAGAAAGCACAATTATCATATGCTCATCTACCATACTGGGAGAACAGATGACAGTTCTTACCATATTGCATTAGCCAATATTCCAAGTTAGTAAAACCTGAGCAATTTAAATTTGCAGTGGATAAAAATATAGAATGTTTAATCACCAAAGACACTGGTCAACCTGATTAGTTTTCCTGGCATTTCTAAAATATTTAACCATAATGAAATATATGAAAGAGAATGAGAATAGCTGAGGGAAAAAGTCAATTAAGTTAGAGGGGCTATTTAGCATTCATTGTGAGCTCCAGAGGTAATATTTAACTTAAAGGTGTTCATTACATTTAAATGAAACTAAATGAAGAGGATGCATGAGTACTAAAAATAATAGATAATAAACCTTTCTCTCAATCTCATCATCCAGTCTCCTCAGTTCCATTTCCTGCTGATCTTGCTGAAGCTTCAGCAAACGCCTTCTTGCGGCATCCTGTAAGTGCATTTCCTGTATTTTCAGCTCCCTTTTCATAGCAGCTAGTCTTAAATACAAAATGCGGGGGGCGGGCGCAAAAATAGGGTTACAGATGTTCATATGGAAAGTCGTACAGGTTATACCAAGAGGAACAAGTAAAAACATTTCCCAATATAGATTTAAATGGAAAAACATTACATTTCACAACAATGAAAGGCCTGCCACCTACTTAGGTCCACTTCCCAATTTCACTGGTGCCACTGCATCCAGCTTTGTTTACAGTATATAAATGAAAGATGCCCAGTTACAAGTCTGCACTCATGGAAACGACAAGTGTCCACATGACAAGTCTCCTTCTCATATGTACATGTTCTTCTTAAGCTTTACTACTCACTTCCTCTTAATGCAAGTGATATCTATATCTCAAGGAAGAATGCCAAAAAGTGCTCCAATGTTACCAAAGATTATACTTATTCTCTTAGAATTTTAGGAGAAGGCTAATAGCTTAGCTCGGTAGCTCTTTTTAACCACATTAGAAATCTGTTTCATAAAGTCACTCCCAAGAAAAAGGATCATCTTAATTCATTTCACCATTTTACCTTTAAGCATTTAATACTTCTTCCCCTGTCCTCAAAGTATGAAATGCATGATGAGATAATCATTGTATGTTTCAATTTGCAGGTCACGTAGATATACTTAAAACATAATTTTAAAAATTATGCTCCATCAAAGGTAATTTATCCAGAACAGTAATACAGAGCATTTCTGTCCATTGTAGAATAATGTTTCTAACAATGTCCTCCCAGGCACATAGATCTTGTATTACTCTGAATAATCAGTGCAGTTATATCATAGTCAGGATACCTTTAGAATTACACTTGACTATATTACATTTGAAAAGTGGTATCTATACAGATTTCTTTTTATCAACTTAAATATTTGCTTACTGGAAATACCACAGTGGGTCATGACACATATAGTGCTGTTCCTGTAATGAAAAATGGAAAAAAAAATTGTTCAACTAACTTGTATGTCCAGACTTTTTCAAGCTGATAAAACATACCTCTGTCTTTGCTGTAGCATCTTCTCCTCCTCGTGTAGGAGCATTTCTCTCCTGGTTTCTTCAGCTTTATGGAGTAGTTCTTGTTTTTGGCACCAAGCTTCATCTTCAGCTCGTTGTTGGTCCACTTCAGCTTGCATATTCTTAACCGTCTGCCTTAAGTAGGTAATATTTATTATTATGTGAAAATCAAACAAGAAAACTTAAGTCCAAGAACAACCAAAACACAAAATGCATAACTGATAATACTAGTAGATAATTGTTTTCCTTCTATATGTAAGAATTAAATATCGTTAGAGATATTTCCAGCCTTCAAATGGTAATTTTACACAAATACATAATCATTTCACATGTATTTTTCATAAAAACTTTTCTTGTTTATAGTTATAATAGATTTTGTTTCTATTGAAGAACAACTTTCCCATGATTACCTCTCTCGTAAGTAATCCAATTCATCATTCCTTATTCGTTCGCGTTCCTGTGTCTGACAGTCCACAATGAACTTGGGATACTGGTTAAATACTGGATACTGTCCTTTTGTCAGTGCCACAAAACCACTGAGCACCCTCTCTGGCTGAATGTCAGCAGGTGTGGTATCCATGAGATGATAAACTTCCCTAATTACAACACTTATGTCCAGGTTATTCCGATGGTGAAAAAAGTACTGTAAGAAAAATTTGTGTTTAAATCGAGATTTACCTAACAAAGCATTTCCAGGTAGAATTAAAATGGGAGTTTAAAAATGTAACTATAGCCCTAACCAGTTTGGCTCAGTGGATAGAGCGTCGGCCTGCGGACTGAAGGGTCCCAGGTTCGATTCCGGTCAAGGGCATGTACCTTGGTTGTGGGCACATCCCCAGTGGGGGGTGTTCAGGAGGCAGCTGATCAATGTTTCTGTCCCATCGATGTTTCTAACTCTCTAGCCCTCTCCCTTCCTCTCTGTAAAAAATCAATAAAATATATTTTTTGAAAAAAGTAACTATAAATTTATCATGAAGAGGATTTCTTTTTCCAAATTCATTGAAGCTTTCCTTAACCCAAATTCTAAAATGAAGATCCAATTTTATATTTTCAAAATGTAAAAAAATTTAACCACCATATTACACACTTTCAAAATAACACTTTAAAATATTAACTCAAAATGAAGGCTTCTTAAATAATAGAAGAATACTTCAATATTGGAACAAATGCTTCTACTTGGATTTTATTCCTTCAAAATGCAAAATAAATAAATTGGGGGGAAAAATTAGCCTTTGAAAAGAAATTAGCTTGATTTTTTTAAAAATCTGAAAAATTTTCACATTATCTTGTTCTGCTGGCAGATCCAAATTCATACAGGATGGGGCAAAAGTAGGTTTATAGTTGTTCGTATGGAAAATACAATAATAAATAACATAAATAACAATACAAGAATAAACTCCATGTTTCACAAAGTCACCTAAAACACCCTGTACACACTGCTCCCCCCACCCCCCACATACACATATATATCTTGTGAGCATAAAGTAAAAATAAAGTTTAATTTGACAGGGATCACAAAATAAGAAACAAAAAAACAAACAAAGCCCAATTTAATTCGGCCTGTCTACCAAAAGAGCCTCTCCTTTTCAAAAGCATCTCTAATGCTTGCTTTCAGTCACTCTCCTGCCAAGCCTCAAAATTCTCAGTTACCATTCAGCACATGTAATAAGCATTCAGATGATCACAGACCAGATGGGTCACTGTGATAAGATCATGTACAGAATAAACCCCATTGTTAAATATCCTTTATACAGGGAAAAAAGGACAAAACTCCCATATTATCATGATTCTTTTCTGAAGCTAAGATGTTAAGACTAACAATCTGCTGCAATTGCCTGCTGAATTGTTTACAAACAATGAAAGAACATGGCTGTGCTATAACTTGCTCTCCACTATATTCCTACCCCTTCGTACCAGGACCTGACATACAATAGGTACTCAAAAAATTGGGTTTTTCAATGGAAAGAAATAAAATTTGAGAACTGCTAATTTACCTCAAAATCATCTTTACGATCACAGTTGAGCAAAGGAGCTCTAGAACATATGTTGTAGGCTACAACGGTCATCAGCAGGAATGAAGGATGGTTGGAAAAGACATTATCAAATAATTTTAGCCACTCCTCTCTTGTCAGTACTTCTGAGAACACAGTTTCAAGAAGAGGCCATGCATATAGCTAAAACAAATAAGAAAAAGTGTATTAGTTTCCTAGAGAAAAGTCATAACATCATTTCTAATAACTCCTTACGTTTGGTTCAGTTATTAAAATTATTACATTTAAAACATAATTAAGTAAAGAACTACCTTAATTTGGACCCTTCTTTATAGACTTTCAGGAAAGCAGTTTAAATGAGGAAAGAGAATGAAATACTGTTAAAAATACAATAGTATGTTTTTTATTATACTCTCTCAAGAAAATACTGTTTTATTTGTAATAGAACTAATGCTAGTTTCCAAAGTAAGTTATGCTATTGTAAGAACCTGACACTTCTTACCTGGGAAGTTACGTCACGATCTATGAAGTGCTGCAGCAGCTCCTTGTCATGAAAAGCCAGGACATTTTCTATCATGCTAAGAATATTGATAGGAGGGTTAGGAAAATACTCAAACCAGTGTTGACACCAATTGGCTATGAAGAAAAAAACGGGAAAGTTATCTTTACCTTTCTATATTATCAAAGAACTTTGCAATTTTTAAATGTATCCACTCTTCATGTTCTCTGCATGCCCATTAATAATAAAGAAAAAAACATAACTCTTTAAATTCTAGAAAAATAGATTTAAAAATTCCATCATGTTAACATAATATTTTAGGTTAACAGAAATTTGCCAATTTCTTCAGAGCAGTCAGTGAGAAACAAACAAACGAAAAATTAAAACAAAACTTCCCAAAGCATTCCTGATCCCAGCTACAAGGCACTTTCTTGTTGATTTGTTTCTAATACTGTATACCGTATTGTGTGTTCACACCCCAAGTCAAGTCTCCTTTCATCATCATTAATCCCCCCTCTATCCTCTTCTACCTCTCACACCCCCTTGATTTGTTTCTTTTCCTTTTAAAATAAAACTCTTAGTGTTACTGGCAGGGCAAACTAGTACAACCCTTTTGGGGAATCAATTAGAAATTCATATTTTATGACATAATAATACCAATTATTGAAATCTACCCAATAATAATTATTATAAATATTTGCATGTGAATATAATTATAACATTGTTAACTTATAACAAGTAAAAATTACAAACAACCTAAATGTCCAACAATAGATTAAATTAGTACACACACACTATGAAATACTACAGTCAATAAAATGGTTATAAAGTTTATAAAATAAGGAAAATGTATACAACACCTTAAATAAAAGTAATATGATTATAAAAATAAAAAACAGCCTAAAAGTGTGAAAAATTTAGGAAAACCCCCAGAAGCATAGCAGTTGAGGGATAAATTACAGTGTACCTAAAGATGAAATACATAATGATTTGGGGGAAATGCTCTTATAAGAAATTCACTTATATATTATCAGAGATTATCTTGGGGGAAAAGAATATTGGTAGATTTTCTTTTCTTTTGTATATTTTCCTATATTTTCTTCAATGATCAGTGAAAACTTATCAAAGCAAATACAATGTCATAAAATCAACAAAAAAACAATGTAAAGAGAAATATTCCAATATGTACACCTGGATCTTTTCAGAATTTTATTGTGATAATTACCTCCTCCCTTCTGTGTATAAGAAAAACACTCTAAGTAATTTAAAAATACATATAAGATTAGTTATGTTTGTTAAAACAACCTATAATTTGAGTCCAGTTTATCAATTGTTCAACTGATCTGATCAGCCAACATGGAAACAATGACTCACTTGTCAGTGTAGAGGACGATGAAAAGCAGTCAACACCACGATTGGGAATACAGGCTAAAGGCTCTGCCTACCTGGTCCAATCCTTGTTCTGCAACCAAGCTAACCTTGGGAACTTAAACTCTCTGTGCCTCGGTTTCCTCATCTATAGAAAGGGGACAGTAACACCACCTACCTCATAGATTGTTTTAAGGATTAAATGAGTTAATAGAGACAAAATACTGAGATGGTACCTGGCACACAGGAAGTTCTCAAACGTCAGCTATGGAAGATGAGAAGGAGGTAGCGGCCAGCACTTGCCACAACCGGCATTGTGTACTAAGTGCTTTATATGCTTACTACGTCCTATGAATAATAACTGACTTTTAGTAGGAAACCCATCTGCTTCCTTCTTACCAACAATTAGCTATAACAGTGTCTTCTAAAATACAACTATCCAAATATTCTTGTAAATGAGAGGTTTATGTGTAAGTGGCTGCACTATTTTATGCTCTATAGCTGACTGTTTCACACTAGATTTGTTAAATGTGGCAAAGGTGCAAAGACATCAGGGAAATGTACAAGAATTCAATCCTGGTTTCATTTAATGCTTATTTACTTACTTATGAGAGTAGCAACAACTTCAAAACAGATGAGTTGGTTGTTCTGGAATAATTTTACAAATGGAAATGCCAGGAGTGGAAGATACGGTGTGTCACTAAAGATGGCAGACCAGTGCGCCAATGCAGATAGGGTTCTGTGAATAAAACAAGGAAATAAAGACCAGAAAACAGATTATTATTAAAATTTATTTGAATAGACAATACATTCACATAATAAAAAATTTGATACAGAAGGTATATTTGCTGAAAATTCTCTCTCCCTATTGTCTAGCTCACATCCCGTTACCATCATCAAAACTTCCTCCAATGTGCGAGTTCCTCAGTCTCTCATCTTTTATGACATTGACACTTTGAGGAATACCAGACAGTTATTTCATAGACTGCCCCTCAACTTAGGGGTCAGTCTCATGACTAGACTGAGGTTATACATTTTTGGCAAGAATACCACAAAAGCAATGTGTAATATAGTGATAGGCTTCATCACTGGCGATTTTAAACTTGAGTACTTGGTTAAGGTGTGTCTGCTGAGTTTCTCTACTATAAAATTACCATTTTCCCATTTGTATATGATAAACGTTTTGGAGGAGATTCACACTGCTGCAATATACTGAACATACCTCTGTAATACTCTGAGTAGTTTCCTACTTTTGATGGGGTATTTCCTCTGAAGGTTGAGAAATGCCATGTGGACACCTTTATCTATCAAGCTACTAAATGCAGTATGATTTTCAGGCAACTGTAGCAGAGAGCGCCAGATGAACATTCTGAAATGAAAATGTAATTTTTTACCAAGAAAAATCTGGGGGGTAAAACCGATTTAACATGAAAGAATTTCAATTTTACCTGTATTTTGTTGGATATTCACCATAGCCTTTTAATAAGATTTGTAAACGTTTTTTATTTAATCCATCTGGCAATTCATTCTATAAAGAAAAAATATCAGTAAATGTCATAATCATAAAACTGAAAAGGTAAACTAGCCCACAGTGGCTGTACAACACAAGACATAGTAAGAAATATTTTTATGTCATTGGACTCTCTCTCTCTCTCTCTCTCTCTCACACACACACACACACACACACACACACAGACGGTAACAGATCATCTCAGACAAGGCAAAAAGACAAATTGGTACATCCTTTTTATAGAAAATTTGGCTATTACTATCAAAATTTTTATGCACACACTCCGACTTTAAAATATCTACGTCTACAGACACATTTGTGCAAATGTTCAAATATAATTGTACAAGGATATTCACTGCATCACAGATTGTGTTAACAGAAGACTGACAATACAACCTAAGTGCCAGCCAGCAGAGTACTAGTTAGATAAATTAAAGCATATCCATAATGCAGTACTATGCAAATATTTTTTAAACATTGTAGCACTATATGTACTAATATAAACAGATATTCAATCTGTTAAGTGATAAAAGCAAGCTATGGAACAGTGCTAAAGTAAGATTACATTGCTGTAAAACTTAAAAATAATATATGCAGATATACATATGTTTACATATGCACAGAAAACTTCAGAAAGGATGTCAACAACTATTAAAAACAGTAGCCTCTGGGGAGTGAGACGAAGAGTGAGCTAGGAAACAGGAAGGAAGAAAGTATGCTTTCAGTTTTCCGTTTATAACCTTCTGTACCATCACTGTCTAACAGATAATGCAAGTCACAAATGTCATCTAAAACATTCTAGGAACCACAGTAGAAAAGTAAAAAGAAGCAGGTAAAATTAAGTTGAATAATATATATTATTTAACTGAATATAATAAAAATGTTATAATTTCAACATATAATCAGCATAAAGTAATTAATTATTAAGATATGCTACATTCTTTTGTTCACACTAAGTCTTCAATGCCTGATGTGTGTTTCACATGTACAGTAGATCTCAGCGCAGACTAGCCATGTCTCAAGTACTCATCAGCCACAAGGGGCTGGGATATTTGATGGTGCAATTCTATATGGTTTGACTTTTACAAAAGCAGAAGCATGTGTTAATTTTATATTAACATTTTTTTTATATTAAAAAAAATTTTAAGCACATTATAATCTTAGTTATACTACTTTCTTCTCTTCATATTATTTTTTTTTACTTCCTAAGAGAGGGAAGAATGATGATGGCCTAGAAAGCATGAGCCTTGTTTACGGCAGTTATGACAAACGGAAGTTTAATCATGATGTGTTCTTACCTCTTTATTTTCAAGATGGCCAGTCAGGTCTTGCTTTAATATTCTGGTCTGTATTTTGTTTTCCTTTGATTTTGCTGGCCGCTGTACTCTTCCTGATGTTACTTTCATCTTAAAATCACCAGAAGTCAGTTTACGTTTAGGCAAATCTTCGATCACTTTCACTAAAGGAGGAGGTGGCTAAAGGGGAAAAAAAAATCTAGTAGCTCTCCTTAGAAAATAGACCTGTTAATATATGATTTATAAAATTTGTTTTGATCAATTTAATAATGAGCCTTAATACATGTAATTATTTTTCAGACAAAAAGTGTAAATAAGATATCTAAGAATGTTTCCTTGTTGACTAACAAATCAAAGCAAATTTCTGCCAAATTCCTTTGAAGAATACACATGAAGACACATGATTAACAACACGTAGAATTTAATAATTCCATGAAAGCAGGCTGTAAATCACAGACTACAATCCGTTTTGCATTCTGTGATAAGGTTAGTAGCATGGTGATCATTTGCAGCAGGAAGGCAGTTAGACATTGGCCTCTACAATGCTGAGGAAAGGCCCCCAATGTTCTTTGGGCGCAAGTGAATTTTCTCTGAGGGAAACTGAGGGGCAGTGGCAGGCAGTGAGGGCTCTGAGTTTTAGAATATCTGCTTAAATAACTGTTATTCAAGAGCAGTTAATGAAGACCAATACAAGGGTGGCTAATATGGGTGGAGGACAGGCAGCACATATATATATTTCAAACTGAAGAAATTAATGACTTAGTATTGACTAGATTTAGGAAATAAAGAAATAGGAAGAGTCACAGTGCTCCAAGGTTTCGAGAAGGAAGAGTGAGACAGAAACAAAGAGACTGGAACCAAAGGCCTCCTTTGGGGAGCAGGTTATGGGGGGCACCTTGCATGGGGCAGGGACATCAGACTGATGCCCTTGAGAAAGGCAGACATTTAAGAATGGAGGATAAGTGAGAGATCAAGTCTGGAGATACAGCTTTGGGAGTAAAAGAAAATATATCCTGAAAAATGGATACAGTCCAAGGACGTTAGAAGTTTGTAGCATAAAGATTTTATTTTTGATGATACGTGTAAGTTTTTTTTAAAAAATTGATGTTATTGCCCGGCCGGTGTAGCTCAGTGGTTGAGCATCAACCCAGGAGCCAAGAGGTAACTGGTTTCATTCACGGTCAGGGGACATGCCTGAGTTGCAGGCTCAATCCCCAGTAGGAGGCAGCCAATTGATGCAGTTTTTCTCTCATCGCTGTTTCTCTCTCTATCCCTCTCCCTTCCTCTCTCTCTAAAAATCAAGAAAAAATCATATTAAAAATATTGATATTATTTACTTGATAACATACCTTATTTATTTCTTGTGTTAAAGCTTGAACTGAATATATGTTCAGACTTCCATTTTCCATAACACATGCAATGTACCGTCCATGTGGGCTAATTACCGATGAGCTGATTCCTTCGTCAAGGCTCCCGATTTCAAAGAGAAGTTTACAAGTCTGTATATTGATGAATCTCATAATACCATCTTGACTTAGCACTCCAAGAGCCTAACAGTAGAGAGAAACCAAGTCAAGTCAAAAGTCTGAAAGCCAAACTATACACACCCGTATGTACGTGTGCATACTTATATATGTATTTTTTTGAGACAAGGACAGTTGGAGATCATATTCTCAGAGGATTGTTATATATTTTCAAATCCCCAATTCTGGTTCATGGAGATTTGCCTATTCAGGTCCAGAGAAGCCTGGCTTTCCTCAGAACAAGTCAGAGCCCACCCTGGGGAACTTTATAGAAAGGTCACCTCTGAATCCTCCCTTCCCGCAGGCAGGCATGAGACCGCCCCTAATCCCTACAGAGAGAACACAGGAGATGAGACAGTTCTTCACTTTGGTCTCCACACTGGCTGTGGGAAGTGAGGCTGGTGAACCTGTGTATTCCTCACTGTCCCACAGTTTGATCAAAGCTAACATCCATCCTGCTGCTCCCGCACCTGTGACTCTCAGTGAGGTTCCCCAGGTCGACGTGCTTTCAGCTGCTATAACTAACATTTGGGGAACGTAGAAAGTTTCTGAGTTGCAAGAATAGTGGAGAGGTAAGAGGAGAACTAGTCTTTTAAAGGTAAATAAAATTTTAACTCATATTTTGCAAAATTAAAAACATATTAGAAATGAGTAAGCAACTATGGAAGACCACAGTTTGGAAGTGGTTGGAAGCAGTTTGAAGGTGACAATCTAAAAAGCATGTCCTCTGTTGGTCAGGTTGTAGGAAACGCCCTCATTCACAGCTGATGCAACCTCTCCAGAGGGCACCCATCACATTTACAGAACATACACCCGATACCACTATTTCAATTCTGGGATTTTGTCCTACAGACAGGCTGTGTGGATGTTGCGTGCAAAAAGGTATTCAGTGAAGTATTATTTGTAAAAGAAAAGAACTTTAAAAAAAAGGTGAAGTGCCCACTAATAAGACCGGTTAAAAAATTGTGGAACACTATAAAATATGAAGTTCTGCAGTGATAAAGAATTATCTTCAAGATAAATTAAGTGAAGAAAAGCAAGGTGCACAGCTATAGAAAAAGTGGGGAAAACGAAAGACTAACAACAGTGGGTATGGAGAGTCAATAACTGGGCAACTGGGAGAGAGGGAGGAGTAAGAGATTTCACTGTTTGCCTATATATATATATTTATGTTTACAACCATGTGACTGTATTACCTATTAAAAAACTTAAGGGTGAAGCTGGATAGAGGGGGGAAGTGGGGAGAAAACAGGGGGCATCTGTAATACTGTCAACAATAACAAAAATTTTAAAAATTGAAGATAGATATAATAAACATATACACACAATACATATACATACACACACACATCATGGGCATATACAAAAATTTGTTAAAGTGTAAGACCCAAGATAACCAATTTAAAACAAAAAGAGTTAATGGAAGTTACAAAATAGTGACAGGAATGTAAAGTACAGCATAGAAGGTATATAGTCAATAATATTTTAATAGCCATCTATGGTGCCTGTTGGGTACTGGAAATATTGGGGGGAATGCTTTGTAAAGCATATGGTTGTCTAACCATTATGCTATATAACTGAAACTAATACAACATAATATTGAATGTAAACTGTAATTCAAAATTTTTAATAATTTTTTTTAAAAGTTAAGGTCAGACTATACTCAACTAGTAAAAAGAAAAAAGATGTGTGTTGGGGGTGGGGTGGGAAAACACTCTGTATACTAAGGCAAGATGCAAAGAAACATGTTTCATAGGATTGAGGTGAGCAATTATGGCAGATAAAACACTGTTCAACAAAGTGAGAACATTGTAGCTCTAGTCTCACCTTTAATCATTACAATCAACAGGAGTATTGATAGGTCATTTAAGTTTCTATGCTTTAGTGTCATAACCTGTAGAATGGTGAGAATACTTCCTTGCCCATGCTCAAAGAATTTAAGGTTCAAATAAAAAATAACACGTGAAAGCATCCTGTAGACTATGAAGTAGGGCATGAAATTAAAATACACTGATCTTAGGAAAAAAAAAATGAAAAGCTACCCTTTAGAAAAAGAGTACATTGCCAGTAACATACGAAACCTAAGATTAAAAAATTCTTTTTCAATTTTAGACTCTTCTCAACAATAGATTAGCAATGTCAAGTCCTTGTAACAATCAGGGTACAAGTTAAATGAGAGGGCTATCACAGTTCAGAAACTGGTATGATCCTTCTCAGCATGGAGAATGTCCTGGGTTATGTTACCAACCTGGTTAGAACCAGCATCAAAACTATCAGGAAGAAACTCTAGGTGGCGAATGGCTCGAACTTTAGTAGGCATCTGGATAATTCTAAATAGCTGTTTTGCTTCTAAGCACCACAAATGAAGATGGTTTGATTTGCCTCCAGCGGCCAGGACTCGGCCATCTCTAGATAATAAAAAGGCGAGAAAGTAAGACGAGCTGAATTGTTCACAGTGGCACTGTCCCATATGACCCAAATGATGATGGGAAGGTTCTGTACCCACGCTGCCAATATGGTCACTACGAGCCACATGTGACTGAGAGCTTACATGTGGCTAGTGCCTCTAAGGAAATTAATTCTTAATCTTATTAATTTACATGGTCCCATGCACCCAGTGACAACCATTGGGAAAGCTCATGTTTACAGTACACATATTTTTTTTACCTATTGTGCTAAGAAACCAGCTTAACAAATATTTGTTTGATGACTTAATTGGGGGTTTTGGAGTAACGTTTAGATTTTATCTCATACTCGCAAGTCAGTTTCCACTATCCCACTTTCTACATTTCACATATGACTATACAGAATTGGTACAGCATTGCTATATGAAAAACCAAAACCCCCAAACGTTTTCCTGCTCAAACAAAGCTACTTTATGTTTATAAAGTACAAAAAGAATGAGCTGTATTGATTTGCAAGGTTGCTGCTCATTCATTCACCGGCTTGTAGTGTCCACTATCAGCCAGGTCTCATGCCAGATGCCAGGGACACAGGAGTGAACAGACATGTAAGACCCTAATCTTAGGGGATTTTCAGTTTAGAGGAGGAGTGGGGAACCTTTTTCTGTCAAGGGCCATTTGGATATTTATAAAATCATTCATGGGCCATACAAAATTATCAACTTAAAATGAGCCTGCTATATTTGGTCATCATTAACTCACCCCTAATGCCTTGGCAGGGACTGACCAAATGATTTCGAAGGCCTTATATGGCCCGCGGGCTGGACATTCCCCACCCCTGGTCTAAAGGAAGGCAAGCAAACAAATAAATGAGCCTGATCTCAGCTGAGCAATTCTGTAAAGAACCGTGCAGAGCTGGGGAAGGAGGAGAGCTACGCCTGACTATAGTTATTCAAAAAGTGCCCTTATCCTTTAAAAATACACATTGAAATATTTATGGCTGAAATGATATGCTTGGGCTTTGCTTTAAGACAATGCAGTAGAGAAGCAGTAGGTGGAGTTATAGATTTTAAAAAAAAGTGCCTATTAGCTGATGATGATTATAGCTAATGAAAGTATTGTAATTAGGACTCCATGTACTTTCATATTTTTATGTATATTGGAAATTTTCCACAATAAAGTAAAACAAGTTCTACAGGCTATATCTAAGTTTGAAGTAAGATACTGAATGGAGCCGAAACCGGTTTGGCTCAGTGGATGGAGCGTCGGCCTGCGGACTGGGGGGTCCCGGGTTCGATTCCGGTCGGGGGCATGTGCTTGGGTTGCGGGCACATCTCCAGTGGGAGATGTGCAGGGGGCAGCTGGTCGATGTTTCTCTCTCATCGATGTTTCTGACTCTCTGTCTCTCTCCCTTCCTCTCTGTGAAAAATCAATGGAATATATTTTTAAAAAAAAAAAAAAAAAAAGATACTGAATGGAAATTTATAAAACTTTACTGAAAGTTAAATTTCTTAAAAATTCTCAGTGTCTTAAAATGCACATTACCTGGTCACAGCAAACACTTTGTACAGTATGCTAGAGCTTTCGGGTGGAGCTGGCAATTGATATTTGCAAAAAAGTGTATCACATTCCCAGGCGAAGATGGAATTATCTTTAAAGCAGCTGAGGATGGTATTACTTAATGGGAGAAAGAAAACCTACAGATGAAGAAAAAAGTCATTGTCATATAAGGATCGTATAGCCCTCCTTAAATTTACAATTATACAATTAGCCAAACATTCTTTTTAAAAATTATTTTTTCTTGAACTAGAGAAAAATACATTCACAATATATGAAAGGGGCTAATACTGATATTTCACATACCATTATAAACTAAAAAGAAAAGGTAAAATCCTTTAAATAAAAAATAGGTGACTATAATGACTAGGCAATTCATAAAAATACTAAGTAGCAATTTAAAAATATTTAACCTTAGTAAAGATTCAAATGAAAATAACAAGATACCATTTTATGTGAATCAAATTTACTTAAAAATAATACCCACATATATGTATACACAACTATACATATACTCACATGTGTATTATAGTTACAAACTATATACTTATATAAGCACTACATTAAATACTAACTACTGATAAATGTTAAAGGTAATAAATGGTGAAAGCATTGGAAAAGGGCACGGTCACACACTGCTGCTGGTAGTCAAAACTGGTTAAAAATACTGTACAGCAAATCTCAACAGCCTTAAAAATACTTATCTCTTCTGAACTAGTCAATCTGTTTCTAAGAGTTAATCCTTTGGTGGTGGGGAATCAGTAAAGTGCTTTAAGATAAATGTTTGTTGAGCATTACTTATAAAAAATGTAAAAAAGTGGAAAACAAATACATGATCATATTTTTTTAGAGATTCAATTTATTTAATGGACAAGTAAGACTAAAATTGATAGCAAAGTTGAAAATATAATTTTACTAATTTCTCATGAGTTTCAATGGCCTCAAATATAATTTTGTGTGTCATCTCTGTAAAACACACGAAAAGAGGGAAGGAAGGAAGGAAGGAAAGTAAGGAAAGAAAATGGAAGAAACCAATGCATTAAGGACAAAATATTCCTGCCCAGCCTCTCAAAATAAATCCCCTCAAATGGCTTGAGACATTTCACATGGTTTGAACCTTGGTTACATCTCCAGCTATTTATTCTTTGATTCCAATCTAGAAGAGCCTCCTTAACTATACAGGTTATTACAACACTTTATATTTGAACACATTTTGTCATTGTTTCTACAGCTGTGTCTTTAAAGCTTTATTATTATTTTTAAATATGTGACTGTTTCTGTGCTAGAAAAAGAGGAATAGGACTCAATGAGGCAGCAGAGCACCTTTAAGAAGTCGTGGCCTCTCATTCCAATCCCTGGTTTGTTTGTCACACACTTTTGCGATGTTACCAGTGTCAGAAGGAAGCCTGTTTCTCTTGGAATGCTGCATTCTTTGGAGGTGAAGTTTTCAGTGTCTTTTAACAGTGGATTGGAGTGTCTCTTGAGTATTTAGAACAGTGATGGTGAACCTATGACACATGTGTCAGAGGTGACACGCGAACTCATTTTTTTGGTTGATTTTTCTTTGTTAAATGGCATTTAAATATAATATATAAAATAAATATCAAAAATATAAGTCTTTGTTTTACTATGGCTGCAAATATCAAAAAATTTCTATACGTGACACGACACCAGAGTTAAGTTAGGGTTTTCAAAATGCTGGCACGCCGAGCTCAAAAGGTTTGCCATCACTGATTTAGAATCTGGATATGGCTATTGTCACAGTCATGACAGACAGCAAGCCAGAATGACTGTCCAGAGGAAAATCAAACACCAAAACTACGGTGGCTTTCCCCAGTGTTACAAAAAATAGTGGGTTAATAAGGCTCTTTCTGAAATACTTCTGCAACCTTGACTCCAATTTGTGTTACTGTCACCCAGCTTATTATATACATACAGTTAAGAAGTGATTCTAATAGTAATATTATACAAGAATTTCAGGGAATTGTAAGCCATAATTTTCTCAACAAAAATTGCAGGCTATTGTCATAAACTCTGTTTTTCTCATATACATATAATAGTATCTTTTTCCAATAATAAACAGTGCTAAAAAACACACGATAATACACATATACATAATAATGCTCTATGGAAAATACTGGTTAAATAAAAAAGCCTACTCGGGACTGATGTTAACAAGACGTAATAAAAATGATGACTCAACTACTGCCCCTGCCTGATCCAGCTCCTCACTTTCTTTTTGTCTTTGGCTCACTTTGTCAGAGACAACCTCTGGGAGATCTCTTGCCAAAAGATTCAGGAAGGCATTTATAGTATAAGGGCCATATAAAAAGAATCTGTAACGAATACAGTGTACTCTATAATGGATGCATTAAAAGATGGCTTCAAAACCAATGTCAAAAAATATGCCCTGACCGGGTTGGCTCAGCGGATAGAGCGTCGGCCTGTGGACTCAAGGGTCCTGGGTTCGATTCTGGTCAAGGGCATGTACCTTGGTTGCGGGCACATCCCCAGTGGGGGGCGTGCAAGAGGCAGCTTATCGATGTTTCTAACTCTCTGTCCCTTTCCCCTCCTCTCTGTAAAAAATCAATAAAATATATTTAAAAAAAAATGTGACAATATATAAATAAATTCATACAATACGTAAAAACAAGTGACAAGATTTTTATTATAATTAGCAACATTTTTCTAGAAAAGTAATAAATTTATTCCTACTGAGAGAAGCAAAAGCTTAAAAGTTAATGAGCATCAGCTGCTATTTTAGGGGAATAGCTGTGATAAATTATTGCCTACATGATTATTCATTACTAGATCTGTGATTTTAATTGCCAGAGTTTAATGATTATAAAATTGTTCCTAATGAATCATGCCACTATTTAGATAGTGTCATCTCTTGACAAGCATAAAAACCAATCAGCTAAATAAAAACTATCAGCTTGCTAAAATTGAAGTTATATACTATAATAATAATTTTTTTCAATAAGAAAAAAAGCTCAGTAAGTAATAAGCTGCAGCCATAGGCAACATCTTCAATTCTATAGGCCACTTTGCTTTGCTTGTTGAGTTACGAAAACACTGGTATGTGGGACAAATGCATCATTATTCTTAAATCATCTATAAATACTGTTGGCCAAGAAACTAGCCTGAGAAACACAATAGACCAAGATGTTCCCCCTCACTGACCTTTTGTATACCCACAGACTGGAGAATATTCAGCTTTCTTTTTCTCTGAAAGGTATCCAAGTCCCAGAGCTGTGCTGTATCAGAAGAAGTAGTGATGGCGTACTTTCCTGATGCATGCACAGAGATTGAAAACACCGATGATTCATGTCCTCTCATCCAGCTAACCAGCTCCTTGGTGACTGTGGTAAAAAGTAAAATGGTTATACAGATAAAACACTATATATCATCCAAAAACTAATCCAACTGATGACTAGGTATTATGAGGCACCTCCATTAATCTCTACAAACATGGAAGCCTGTATCTCGTTAATAAAACTCACTATAGGACATGTTAGTAACATGTATATGTATCATGGAGGCATGGGGATGAGGCCAAAAGGGTTTAGGAAAAGCCTTCAGTGTGCTAGGGAGCTCGGGCTTTCTCTTGTGAGGAATATTCTCATGATAGAGAGTGTTACACCTGAGCTGTGTTTTAGGAAGAGCATTTTGAGGCATCTAGTGGCTCTATTGGAAAGAGTAAGAGATTAGACAAAACGACTAATTTATTTGCTGCTGTAACCACCCAGGAAGGAGATAAGGAGAGTCTACACTAAGAATGTGGTGATACAGAAAGGACAAATTCAAGAGCTATGAAGGAGAAAAATCAAAGGACTTTGTGATCAAATGGATGTCAAATGGATGAAAGAGGAGTTAAGACTCCAGTGGTCCTGGTTTAGTTATGTAAACAGATGGTGATACTTCTAACTAACGTGAGAAATACATAAGGAGGAACAGATCTAGCAGTGTGGGGAGAAGAGATAATGAATTTGATTTGCAAAATTGATTCTGAGGCACATGTGTGTGCACATGTGCATGCGTGTGTGACATACAAGCAGAGAAAACAGCCAAAAACTGTTCATGATAATTATCAGAGGGTAGTAAAATCATAAGTGATCTTTATTTACTCTTTACATTTTTGTGTCTCCAAGTTTTCTATGGTAAGCATCTTTTAATCAGCCTTTTTTTCCCTCCAGAAAGATGGATATGAGGATAATAGAAAGCAAGATGAAAGTCTGAGGGGGGAGGAGGGGACAATGGGGACAAAAAAGGGGACATTTGTAATACTTTCAACAATAAAGATTTTTAAAAAAATGTAAATCTGGGAAACATTAAGGCACAAAAGTATGCCAAAACTAAAGACAGCGGAACAGATAAACCCGTAGGGAGAGAACAGTGGTTTCTGAGCTCCAGTCTAAAAAGTCTGGCATTAATGGTCAATTTTTCACTAATCTTCAGTGAAATGAGAAAAATAAGAATAATGACTTTTTCAGAAAGCTAAATTTAAAGTACTGCTTTTTAATCTAGTATTATATCCTTCTACGTTTCTTTTTGTTAAAAAAAAAAACAGCTTTGTTTTATGAAGTTATGATTTTTCTAATGTCAATTAGCAAAACTAAAAGTTGACAACCTATGTGGGTTCTTCTACTTTTTATTTTTAATTGAGTCAAAAATCCAAAGTCTAGGAGCTGCTACTAGTATAAGAAGCCAGGGGAGAGACTACTATAGAAGCTGTCAGAAAGGCAGGAGAAAAACCAAAGACAGTATGAAAACTAAGACTCTTAAAGTCATCCAAAGTGTTGAATGCCACTGAGAAGTAGAATGAAAGTTTAAAGAGGATTTAAACAATAAGAAGTTACTCATGACCTTGGAGATAGAAGTCTCAGTAGCATGAAGTTGGGGGAGCAAGAATCAGAATCCACTGATGGACGCTTCAAAGATGCAGGACTTGGTAGTGAAGACAGAGGGAGATAGTTGGAGAGGTGGAGACAATATTTAACAAAGGGGCCTCATGGGGGAGGGAGGGTATTAATAAGACAGAAGAAACTATAAAAAGATGGAACTAAGACAGAACAGAGTGGAATATAAGGAAAGCAATCGCACAGAAGCATAAAGACTTAGTTTTTCAGAATTTCTGTGACAGCAGTGTTGGTCATACCAAAAATTGGGAACAGTTTAAAGTCCATCAATAGGTAATAGGTTAAATAATTCTGGTTGTGCAAATATCAACAGAGTAGATAGAATATTTGGTAATGATGTCAAATATACGTATGAATTTTTGAGGTAAGAAAATGATTACACAAAACAATATAGATAGATGATCATGTCTGTTAGAATGTAGAAAAGGTATATGCATGAAAACAGACTTGGAAAGATAGGTCACATTACAAAATCCCTATGTCTCTGGGCATCACTGAAGACCGTTGCTTTTTCTCTAGCACAGTGGTTCTCAACCTTCTGGCCCTTTAAATACAGTTCCTCATGTTGTGACCCAACCATAAAATTATTTTTGTTGCTACTTCATAACTGTAATGTTGCTACTGTTATGAATCGTAATGTAAATATCTGATATGCAGGATGGTCTTAGGCGACCCCTAAAGGGGTCGCGACCCACAGGTTGAGAACTGCTGCTCTAGCACATGTAGCAGTGATGAAGAACAGGGACCCTGCAGCTAGATTACCAGATTGGGAATCCTGGCTCTTCCACTTAGGAACTGTGGCACCTGGGCCAAGTTACTTCTGTGCCTCATTTCCTCATTTGCAAAATTTGGATAAGAAGTATTCATCTTTGTGGGTTATTATGATGATTAAAATTAATTAACATGTATCAAGTCATAGAACAAAGAGTAAACACTGAATGTCAGCTAGCATTATTATTACTATTATTATTATTATAGTTTATATATTGTTTTAAACATAACACATCAATTACTTTAATAACAAGAAAAAATACAGTTGAGATACCTTTTTTTCTTAGTAAGAATAAGAGGTTCAGTTTATAGAACTCTACACTCTATAAAAAATGTTGTATAAAATACATAGGTTATATTTAAAAAGTATTATTCTGTTCTGTGTATCTGGAATTTGGCCTTCAAAGGGAGGTATAGTCTTTATCCAGGCTCTGGGGAGGCACCCTCTAAACCCCTGGGACTTCCCCAGCCATAGGAATGTCTGTGTTATTCAGACAACAGCTGATAGTTTATGCTAAGGAGAGAACCTCAAAGTGGAGGTCGGCCATACCAGAAAGACCAACCATGTGAGTGATTAGAAGGTTGGGACTTTGGGCCACATAGCAGCCTGACCTCCATAGAGAGGATGAAAGGATGAAAACCGAGTTCATCCCAGAGGGCAATAACCCAATCAATCATGCCTACACAATGAAGCCTCAATATAAACTCTGGACATCAAAGCTTGGGTGAATTTCTTGGTTTGGCAATACTCAGTGGGGATGGCCGCACATAGAAGCTGAGAGCGTAATGTGTCCTGGAGGACAATGGAACCTTCTCAGATTCCACCCTATGTTTCTTTCATTGGCTGGGTCTAATTTCTATCCTTTTGCTACATTAAAACTATAATCCTAAGCATAGTGCTTTCCTGAGTTCTGTGAATCATCCTAGTGAATTATCAAGCCAGAGGGTACTTGTGGGAAACCCTGAGTATACAGCCAGCTGATCTGACGAGAGGATGGCCCTGGAGCCCCTGAACTTGTGGCTAGTGAGGGATGGCTTTTGGGGACTGCTCCCACAGACCCCTTGCAGGACTCCAGTCTATATTTCACCCTGCTTCAAAAGACAAATAGGAGGACTTCTTACCTGTATCGAAACATTTAATAGAATAATCAGCTAACGCCACAAGGAATTCAGACTTCCTATGAAGATTAAAGGCCAGAGCTGTGCAAGCTTGTGCTGTTCGCTGAACAAGATTAAACCTATTAAGAGATGACTGCATTAGTATCAGAAATTCTTCCAATAACCATCAATTTTATGTTGGAGGAGTCCTTAGAGATGAAGAAAATGAAACCCAGGCCAAAAATAGATTAAGAAGAGAGCTAAATGCCATGGAAAGGAATCTGGCTCTTACTTACAGAGTGGGAAGCCAGCAGAATCATGATCAGGCATGTCTTTTAGAAAGATGATCCTGGCAGCAATGGCACATGGACCGAGGGACAAGGAAGAAGTGCTCACTGAGAAAGCTGCTACAGAAAATCTCAACCAGAGTTATGAGTATAAAGTGAAAGAACAAGCAAAAGAGGTGTCAGAAGTCAAGTGGAGAGAGGCACAGTGACCCCCTAACATGGTGATGAGGGAGAAAGCAGGGATTCTTCACGCATACATGAAGATGAGAAGATATCTCATAAGGCTATCGTGATGATTAACTATACAACGACTAAATGAAATAATACGTTAAGTGCTTAGCAGAGTACTTGGCACAAAGCTAGAGTTTAATCTACAAAAAAATAATTTTTCAAGCTTGGGCAAAAGATGAACAAGTTTGGGGACAGGAAAAATAGGTTGGATTTTAAACATGTGGAAATTAAACCACTGGGTTGATTAGGCCCTTGCAAAACATTTAGAGCTGCTTTGTCCAAAAGAAATATAATGCAGGCCACATGTATAATTTAAAATTTTCTAGGTGCCACATTAAAAAAGTAAAAAGAAACAGTCAAATTAATCTTAATATATTTTACTTAATTCAATAAAAATTAATGAGATATTTTACTTTTTTTTTTCACCCGAAGTCTTAAAACCCCAGTGCATATTTTACACTAACAGCACGTCTTAATTTGGACTAGCCACCTCTCCGGGGCTCAAGAGCTCCATGCGGCCAGTGGCTGCATGGCAGCCGGTCTGGAAGCTACCCAGTGGTGGCAGAAGCAGATCTGAGTTACCAGTATTCACATGGCAGCTGAGTGAACCCGGAGGCTTGGGGGTAGTGAGATTATCAAAGAGGAACCTGGAATATGGAAGGAAGCAGGCCAAGGCCAGATCCCAAAGTAGCACGACAATAAAGGGAAGAAGAGTCAGCAACACACGGAAAAAAAATAAAGAGGTAGAAAAATCATGAAAATGTTGTACCCTGAAGCATAAGAAAAAACATTTCAGGGAGGGGGGAAGACAAGAGCATTTAATAAAAGAAAAATTGTAGCAACCACTGGATTAGGCGATTAGGAAGGTTGTGAGGAAGCCCAGCGTAGTGGATTTTAGAATCAGGCCAGATCTCAGCTCTGCCACATACTCCTCTGCTCTGCTGTAAATATTTAGAGAGAACAGGGACGTGGACAAAATAAAAGAGAGGACCTCCTGACCCAGGGGTGGCTATAGAAGACAGAGATTAGCCCTGGAAGAAATCAGGATCACCTACTTTTATGAATGAAGTGGCAAAGAGGTACAGATGCTGAACTTTCAGATATATTTGAGGCTGCCGTAGGGGAGGAGGAAGGGAAGCTTGAAGGCAGCAGTCAAAATAAGAGTAGGGTCCAACACAAGGAAATTGATAAAGGTTTGAAAGCCTCAGAGGCTGCTCTACGCTGTTTGGCTCAGTGGATAGAGTGTCGGCCTGTGGACTGAAGGGTCCCAGGTTCGATACCGGTCAAGGGTACGTGCCTCAATACCCTGTGACCTGCCATGGAGGAGGCAACCAATCAATGTGTCAGACACATTGATGTTTCTCTCTCTCTGTCTCTCCCCCTACCTTCCACTCTCTAAAAATCAATGGAAAAATATCCTCCATTGAGGATTAGCAACAACAACAACAAAAACAAATACTCAGAAGAGGATGGGAGACGTAAATAACAAGAGAAGCAAATGAAATATTCATTATTCTGTAATGCAGCCAAGCAACAATTATTTTTATTTCATTTAGCAATGGGAGCAAAGGAGAGACAGTTGTATTGATTTAAATCCGGGAATTGGCAGGGTAGGTTAGGCAAGAGTAAAGGGTGGGAGAACTGTAACCATTGCATTTTTGGTAATGAGGAGAAACATGAATAACAGACTTCTATCTAGTAAGCCACAGATAAATAAATCACATACGATCTCTTCTTTTCTTGAACTTTTTGCAAATAAGTTACTGAGATCATGTTTCCTACAAACAAGGAAATTCTCCTGTGTGATCACAATACAACCATCAAAACCAGAAAACTACATTTATATGTTACCACCATCTAATCCTCAGACCCCATTCAATTTGCCAGTTGTCCCCGTAATGTCCTTTACAACAAAAGGACCAGTTCAGATCCATGCCCTTACTTGTCATGGGTCTAGCCTCCCTCTGTCCGGAATAGCTCTTCAGTCTTTCCACAACTGTCATGGCCTTGACCCCTGTGAAGATTACAGGCCAGTCTTGTAATACAATGCCCTTCAATTACCTTGGCCTGGTGATCCAACAGATTAGATTCCGGTTACATGGCCTTGGAACAGAATAGCACAGAGGTGACACTGTATGCTCTTTACTGTACCTTATCAGGTAGCACACAAGTTTTGATTTGTCCCACTATTCACTTAACTGTAATCATTTGATCAGGTGGTGTTTGGCAGGCTTCTTCACTGTAAAATTACCCCTTCCCCTCTGAAATTAATAAATATTTTGTGGGAAGTACTTTCTGACTATGCAAATATCTGCTCTCATTAAACTGTTGAGTGCAGCACAAATGCCTGGATTTCTATTTTATTCAATGAGTTATGATCCATTACTATCATTATTTATTTTAATACTCAAATTGTTTACAATATGGCCTGAGGGAACTCCTTCAAGCTGACATTTATGTCTTCATGAAACATTCCCATTATTTTTGAAAAATTCCTTCTTTCTAGCTACAAAAAGTTCCAGGATCATCTTGTACTTTGCCCGCCTCCATCCTGAAAGTGGTCATTTCTGCAGGAATCCCCGAATCCTTTCAGCAGATGTGGCGTTTAGGAAAGAAGAACTGAGCATGTTCTTTGTAAGCCGGCGAGGCTGTTGCTGCTCTCAGGTCCTATGAACGGACAAAGCTAGGAAGTATGTGTATATATTATTCACTCATTTGCTCGTCACACACCTCTATTTATTTCTATATCTCTATATATTCAAAACCAGAGTTCGCATAGACATATCAAATTGCAATCCAGTACCACAGACTCATTCTAGTTTCCTTCCTTTCCAAGAATTAGAAACCTGGCCCCCACTATCCTCAACGTACATACTCATTTGATCAACGCCCCTATATTTCTCATGATTGCCCCGCCACACCATGCAGACACCTTCTGACTCTGGCTGGGCAGTGCAGGTCTCCCTCCCACCTGCCCCCACTGCATGAATGCCTCCCTTGATGAGTCTCACTTAATTGCAAAGGGAGAGAAGAAGAGGAAGAGGAGGATCAATTCTTTAAAATCCCTAGATCTAGCATTCTGACAACAATGTACAAAGAAATTGTGTTCTTTCTAAATTGCTGAATGAAGTACAAGACCTTTACTGACAAATTGGCAATAATAAATCTTTAAATTTAAGGAAAAACAAACTACTAGAGATACTGTTAAAACCAGAACTTTATTTAATTCTCTCAAACATACTAGTATGACCGTATTATCTTTCTCTCCTTCCCCACTTTCTTCCATCAGCATTAAGAGAGTGCTTTTCAAGGCATCTGAAACACACTAAGAACTTAATAAATCTTCCTGGATGAATAAGTAATAGCAGGTACCAAAAGTCAGTGAATTAATATCATTAAATAAGGCAAATATCAAAAGTATCACTCACCTGTTTCCAGGCAAGTCAAAACCATAGATATTTCCTTGATGATCCCCAGCAATTAAGCAATCACCTGAGCTATCAAAAGCCACATTCAAAAATCGCAGAACTTTGGGAAGGTAATCAGAAGTGGTATGAATGATGTTCACTATAATTCTGCAAAAAAAACCCAAACACACACACATTAAATTCTATGTCAGGCATTACTTGTTATTATGAAAAATATGGCTTTTATGGCATAATTCACTAATTTTGAAGTTGTTTGCCTACCCATTCTCCCCTCTCCTACTATTGCTGCTGTTTCTCCTCTACTAGAAGCAATCCTACAATGATTTCTGAAAAACGGTTCAGAAAGTTACTCATCAAAGTAGCTATTGTTCATTTAGTCATCAAACACCTGACAAATCACTATGTGTCATGCACTGAATAAGCCAGGAACTAAGAGTAGTCGATAGACATGGGTACTGCCCTCATGGAACTTCCAGGTTAGTAGTGGTAAAGACACATTTAAAAAATAGATGCACAACGCAACAGATTTATAAATTGTGACTGACAGACAACAACAGGATAAAGGAGAATGGATTTTGGATTTAAATTGTTACAGTAAGCAACAGACATGATAAAAACAATGAGTTTTATATAAACCACAAGCTACCATATAGAAGAAAAATTTCAATCCAATATTCCAAGTTTAAGATATCATAATGAGATTTTGTTTTTCTGACATAGTGTTCCAAAGTGAAAGTGTCCTTGAGTTTTATTTTCAGCTATATTTGTCTAAAGTTACTTTTTGTGAGAGAGAGAGAGAGAGTGCGAAAGCATATATCTACTAAAAAGTAAGCTATTTAAAACTTACAGCACAAAATAACTCCTTAAAATATGTGTGTATATTCAGGTCATGAACAAGAATAGTCCCATTCTTTATTGCAATAATAGTTTTCATATCACGAAAATTTGACTCTGGGGACATTTTTGAAATTTAATATTAGAGACATCTATTTTCCTCAGTATCATTTCATTAAAAAATACTAAATTGAATTAAGTGCACTAAACATGTTCTTCAGTTTATCTAAAAAGGGCTTTTTAGACTCATTAGGTGAAACAGCAACATTCTTTTAATGCTCACTTTTATCGAGTCCCTAAGAAAGAGTCGGTCTGTGCTTTACCAAGCTTTAGTCAGGCTCCTGACCTTCTAGCAGGCCCCATCTGTGCACTTCCTTATAAAATCTAATTTTAGCAAGAACGCTGCTCAGTCAGGTTAATCAGAATCCCCTATCCTCAACATCCCATCATCCTTGATAAGTGATCTTGTTCCTCATCTTCCGTCTCTCAGGGGACGTCTTACCACCCTGGCCTGTCTCCAGCCAGAATCCTGTTAGGTCGGTTTAGCCAGAACTCCCTTCCCCAGATGCTTTCTCCTAATAATTTTCCACCCACTGTTTGACTCCCACCCTGTTCCTTGGTTGTAAATTCCGACTTGCCCGGCTGTATTCAGAATCCAGACCAGTTCTGTACTGAGGTCTCTTTTCCACTATTGCAATAGTCCTGAATAAAATCTGTTTTTACCATCTTAACGATTGCCCACCTTTGGTTTTTCTCTGATATCCTCAGAGGGAGAGGGGAGAAATAAACGTATCGAAATGACAAATAATCACATTAAAATGTTCCCAGGCAATTAAACTCAGAGCAAATGACTTTTGCCTCCAGTCTTTATTCTATAACATTTATTATGTGTTTGGATTATAAAATTACACGATCATTGTTCAAAATATGGAAAACACAGAAAAACACTAATACATACATAAAAATGATTACAACCTTACCAGCTAAATATAATCACAATTAATAGCAGCATTCTCCCTTCTAATTTTTCATATAAATCACCCCTACTAATATTTATTTTAGCAAAACTGTCTCAATTGCTCACAGGTTGCCTGATAGAGGTCCTAAGTCCTCAAACAAAATAAAAACATTAAATATATTCTCAACACAAGGATGCAGGGGACACTATTTTAAAGTCTTCATAACACCTAACGACAACCCTGTCTGGTAGGTATGATTATCTTCTCTTACAGCCGTAGGGATTAATTTGCCCAAGGTCACAGAGCTAGTAAATGGATATTTATTTCAACTGAAGTCCATGTGACCCCACAGTCAGTGCTCCCTGCTTTCTCAACACCATAATGAAGGATTTTAACAAACAACAAAAAAAGCTGTTTTAGTGGAAGAAACAAATAAGGACATTTGCACACAAACTTGTTTCTTTCATTTTTGGAATCTTGCACATATATCTCAATGTTTTATGACGGCAAAAAAGGAGAATTATTGTGGGTTTGCAATAACATTTAGAGTATTTACAAAACGTCAGAAGTAGGGGTGGTATTTACAAAGAAAATTCCTACTACAGAATCCCAACGCTGGACAAAACATTTTATTCAATGGAGTTGGAGGGGCAGCAGCACTGTTAGGACACTGATAGGAACCAGAAACCAAACAAGCTGCTGGTACAACGACTAGCACTGTGCTGCTCCGGGCATGCAGAGTTGGCACTTAAAAGTCTGTTGATTTGTAGAGGAGCAGCCCAACGATCAACAGAAAAATGACAAGAACAAGAAGCACACTGAAACGCAAGCTCAAGTGATGAAACACAGTCCGGGAAATCCTAGGGAATTAGAAGCAAGAAGGTCAACCAGTGTGGCAACTGGAACCAACATGGCATCACTTTAGGGCAAAGGCTACCATTACAATCACACAGGAGAGGCTGAGCCTTAAACAGGACAGATATTTAGGAACAGAATGCAAAGCGGGGCTGGCAGGGGAGGGACAAATGGGCAGAGCACAGAGGATTTTCAGGGCAGTGAGAATATTCTGTACGGTATTATGATGGTGGACACATGTCCTTATACACTTGTCCAAACCCATAGAATGTACAACACCCAGAGTGAATCTTAATGTAAACTGTGGACTCTGGGTGACAATGATGTGTCAATGTAGGCTTATCCATTGCAACAAATGTGCCACTCTGGTGGGGGATATGGGTATTGGGAAGGCTATGCATGTGTGGGGGCAGGCGGTATGTGGGAAATCTGTACCTTCCTCTCAATTTTGCTGTGAACCTAAACTGGAGGAGGAGGAGGAAGAGGAGGGGGAGGGGGAGGGGGAGGGGGAGAACAACAACAAGAACAACAACAACAAGAAATCTATTAAGAAAAGAGGACCAGAAGCAGAAGCGCTGGCCTTACTGGAAGGCTGACCTGCATTGTGGAACCACCACCCCTACACAAGCTAAAATGTAAACTCCAGAGAACCGGGCGTTTGTTTGTTCTATTACAGTCTCAGCGCTTGGAAGCTTGGCACATCGTAGGTGCTCACTAAAGAGCTGATGAATGAATGCTTGCCTGAACGCAGGCAGGGACTGAAGGATGGACCAACTGCAGCATTTGCAAGGGGTGGAAATGCACTGTTCTCCTTCGCCCGCATCTGGAGTTCTTGTCCAGCTGCAGTAGCTAACGGAGTCTCACTGAGCATCTACCAGGAACACCATAGGATGCTATGGAGATTTAGGCATCACCAGGAGCGCAAAAGCTCCCGCGTGTTTCCGAGGACCACTTGTCTCCGGCCCCAGGCTAATCCTGGTCACACCCTGGCCCCCGGACCGGGAAGGGGTATCCGAAACTCAGGCTATCGGCACCTCCTGAAGTCACCCAAGCCAGGCATCCCGGGCCGATCAGAGCCAGAACCCGAACCTCACCCCCGGCCCCCTGCACCTCTTGGAGCGATCCTGCCTAACAGCCCCTCCAACGCCTCCCCAAAAGCGAGGCCCCGCCCCTCGCCGGCCCCCACCCCCTGCACAGCCGGTGCCCTCCCGCCTCGGCGTTTACCCGTCCCGAGCGGCCGGGGATGGCTTGCGGTGCCATATCTTGCCGCTCTCCTTGTTGCCCAGGTCTGTGCTCTGCATGTCGGAGCCCACCCGCGGCTGCCAGCCGGCAGGTGACAACCGTCCGGCGCTTTCCCGGCAGGCCCCGCGCTCTAGGCCCGGGAAGTTTGAGCGCCAGCCCGCGATGGCCAGGATCTCCCTCTGCCAGGGCCAGCCACGCGCAGGACGCCGGCCTTGTACGTGCAGCCAATCGGAAGGCGGCTTCCTTCCCAACTCTGCCCGGCAAGCCTTCCCGCTTCGGACGATGGAACAGGCCAACGACCTTTTAGACTCCGCCCCTTTCGAGGTCCGTCCCCGGGGAACCAAGGCCTTCTGGGAATCGTAGTTTTCTGCAGGTGTGACATAGGTGCGAGGAATAGGCATGGGAATTCTGCATTCTGGGGTCCTCACGGAATTTTAGGCTCCAACGGAGGCAATAGAAGTGATTTTCTCCTGTGGTTCCTACATTCTGTTCTATATTGCATCTAGGGATTAAGGGGTTGTAGAGACAACTAGTAGAGAACCAAGGACTCAAATATAGAGAATTGAAGGGTTCTTTTTATTGAACATTTGGGCTCAAAAGAATCTTTGTAGAGTCCACTCTTCTCAACCTTTTCACCGCGTCATGATTATGTTTTCAATTCTGTAATCTAACAGGAGGCTCCAATATTATGGTGTCCAGCCCACATGAACCAGAAATCACATGATGTCATCATCAACCATTGACCTCAGTTCTTTTTTATAAAAATTCACTAAGCACTTCAATAGTGCTTACAAGGTAACAAACACCCTGCCAAGTGCTTTATGAATATTAACTCACTGAATTCATTTAATCTTCATAGCAAACCTACAATGTTGGCAGTACTATTATTCCCAGTTGTAGTATTCTATGAGGTCATGTATTGGTTTCCTGAGGTTGGAGTAATAAATTATCACAACTTTGGTGGCTAAGAAAACAAATTTATTCTCTCACGGTTCTGGAGGCCAGAGTCTGAAATCAAGGTGTTGGCAAGACCTCTCCAGCCTGAGGCTCTAGAGAAAATTCCATTCCTTGCCTTTTCCAGCTTCTGGTGGTTGCTGACTTTTGATCTTGTGACCACAGCACTTCATTCTCTGCCTCCATCTTCACATCACCTTCTCTTTTCCTATTCTGTCTGTCTCAAATCTCCCTTTGCTTTTCTATAATTTGATTTATGGCCCACCTGGATAATTCAGAATGATCGCCTCATTTTAAGATCACTAACTTCATTATACTAGCAAATACTATATATATATATATATATATCTCCTATCTAATAAAAGACAAAAAGGGTAATTGACCATACCTTCACTACACTTCCCATTGGCTAATCAGGATGATATGCAAATTAACCGCCAACCAAGATGGCGGCCGGCAGCCACGCAGCTGAAGTGAGCAGGAGGCTTGCTTGCTCCAGTGATGGAGGAAGCCAAGGTTCCCTGCCTGCTGCGGCCCGGCTCTGAGCTCCTAAAGCAACAGTTTCAATTATACAAGCTAAACAAACCCCAGATACCTGCTTTCAGCCGATGGTGGCCACGGAGCTGGAGCTGGCTCTCAGCTCCAGTGACAGCAACGAAGTTTCAATTATAGAAGGTAAATAAATCCCAGAATTAAAAAGAAAAAAGAAAAAAAGGAGAGGTTGGGAGCTTCAGTCACTGGCCAGCCTGAAAACGGCCCTCAGCCCCTCGTCCAGGCTGGCCAGGCACCCAAGCGGGACTCCCACCCTGATCCAGGACACCCTTCAGGGCAAACCAGCCAGCCCCCACTGGTGCACCAGGCCTCTATCCTATATAGTAAAAGGGTAATATGCAAACTGACCCTAACAGCAGAAAGACTGGGAATGACTGGTCACTATGACACACACTGACCACCAGGGGGCAGATGCTCAATGCAGGAGCTGCCCTCTGGTGGTCAGTGCGCTCCCACATGGGGGAGCTCTGCTCATCCACAAGCCAGGCTGATGGCTGCCAGTACAGCGGTGGTGGTGGAAGCCTCTCCTGCCTCCTCAGCAGTGCTAAGGATGTCTGACTGCAGCTTAGGTCTGCTCCCCGCTGGCAAGTGGACATCCCCCGAGGGCTGCCGGGCTGCCAGAGGGATGTCTGATTGCCATCTTAGGCCCAATCCCTCGGGGAGCAGGCCTAAGCCAGCAGGTAGTCATCCCCTGAGGGGGTCCCAGACTGCGAGAGGGCACAGGCCGGGCTGAGGGACCCCCCCCCCCCACCCCAGTGCACAAATTTTTGTGTAACGGGCCTCTAGTATATATATAAAAGCAGTGACCAGAATGACTGGTTGCTATGATGCCCACTGCAGTGGCCAACTGTTTCTTATGGGGGGCTGCTAGCCAACCTCCCTCAGCCCCTCCCCCTGCCAGCCACCAGCTGGACCCCACCCATTCATGAATTCGTGCACCAGGCCTCTAGTTTTCCAAATAAAGTAATATTCATAGTTTCTGGGATTAGGATATGACTATATATTTTGGGAGCCTACCATTCAACTCAGTACAGGTAGGTACTTCTATTTTCCCCATTTTTCAGTCAAGGAAATTGAGTTAGTAGGAGAGCCAGGGTTACATCTTTAGTCTTTTCTTTCCTGGCCCCTTTATTTTTTCACAACAGAAAATGACTTTTTACAAAATGATATGATCATAATACTTGAAAAGCTTAAACTCTGTCAGAAAAGCAAAACTCTAACCAAAAGTTTTCCAATGCAGATTTTGTAACTTTTTATATTGCTACCAAGGGGTGGCTCTGAGAGACCAGGCAACTTTTTAACAACCTATTGCAGAGGGGCCAAACCTGTGAAATCGGATTTGAGATGGTGATAAACTGTGTGTATGAATGTCAGCATTATCATTCAGGAAACTTAGGGTGTTAAACTTATGGGCACCTAACTTGAAACACAGGTTATTTCCCACATATCTATCCTACACAAGTAACCAAACAATGTTTAATCAGTAGCAGAAATAATTCTGCTGAATGATTTCCTGAACTATTTAGGCTTAACCTGCCTGCAGCTCAGTGTGTATGGCTGTCACAGCCCACGTGACCATTCTATTCAATTTCATATGTGTGACAATGAGGTTTCCATACTACAGATCTTCTGGATTCCCACTTCACACTTATCTTCAGATTTGGTTGGGCCAAATCTGAAGGTCAGGTTGGCAACTGAGGAGACATGCACCGACGAACACCAACCTTTTGCTCATTATAATCTTCTAATTTTTATAACCCAAGTTGGTAGACTATTTGCTAGTTTTTTCAGTCAATAACTGATGCATCCTGTACCTATATATATTAGATATAATTGGCCTTCAATAAACTTCATGTTTCAATTGTATAATTTTATAAATTTTGACATAAATATACCCCTGTGAAACCATTATAATAAAAAAAGAACATATCTATCACCTCCAAAAGTTTTCCCCTGTATCTTTGCAATCTCTTTTTACCCCCACCCCACCCTGCCCACAGGCAACCACTAATCTGCTTCCTGTCCTGTCTCTTAGAATAGTTAATATTTTCTAGAAATTTATATGAATGGGTCCTGAACTATGCACTGTTTAATTTGGTCTGGCTTCTTTCACTTGGCATAATTACTTTGAGAGTCAGCTATTTTATGGGAGGTATTAGTAGTCCATATGTTTTTATTGCTGAGTAGTCTGCTGTGGTATTGAAATAGCACAATTAACTTATCCATTCACCTGTCGATGAACATTGGGATTGTTTCCAGTTTTTTTGCTATTATAAAGAAAGCTGTTAGGAATATTCCTGTACAAGTCTTTACATGAACATATATTTTCATATCTCTTGGGTAAATTCTTAGAAATGGAGCAGCTGGGCCATATGGTTGCTGTGAATTTAAATTTGTAAGAAACTTTCAAATGTTTTAGTAATTGCACCATTTTGCAACCCACCAACAGTGGAGGAGAATTCTATGTGCTCCACATCCATAATGAGTCTTTGTAATTATAGCCATTCTAGGAGTTTCCTGGTACTTCATGGTGATTCTAATTTCCATTTCTAGAGTGACAAGGCAAATCACTATGTGACTGAATAGCAGGAGAATCAGAGAACACATATGTAAAAGTTAGAATATGCCGAAACCGGTTTGGCTCGGTGGATAGAGCGTCGGCCTGCGGACTGAGGGGTCCCAGGTTCGATTCCGGTCAAGGGCATGTACCTGGGTTGCGGGCACATCCCCAGTGGGAGATGTGCAGGAGGCAGCTGATCGATGTTTCTATCTCATCGATGTTTCTAGCTCTCTATCTCTCTCCCTTCCTCTCTGTAAAAAATCAATAAAATATATATTTTTTTAAAAAAGAACTCTTACTAAAAAAAAAAAAAAAAAAAAAGTTAGAATATAAAAGGTCAGGTCTGCCATTCTAAGGAGTTTGTATCTATTCCTGAAAGGTTCTAGGGAAACTCAAGGCTTCTAGACACATCCTTCTGACTACAGTAGAAAGATCACTTAGAAGAGCTTGAAGTTGGAGGCAGAAAGAGGGTGAGAGCTGTTCCATTTGAGGCAAAAAGAGATAAAGGGATGACCAAGTCCGACACTATGGAAGGAGTTCAAACAGGCAACTATAATGACCAGGGTGTGTTGACATATTATGTAGGAAAGCTGACATTATGCAGGAAAGAGTTCTGTTTCATCAGTAAAACCGAAATGAGTGCCATGCTGCTGACGGATGAAACCCAGGCAACGCTTTCCATTTCCTGGAAGACTTGGCTATTTGGTCTTGTATGAAGAGCTTGGGAGGCAAAAGCCACTACAAGTGAATTATGACATAGCGCATCTCCCTCCACCCTTTTAATATGAGTCAGGACAGAATAGGAAAATCAAAGAGATGTGATCCCAGTGGCTGATATAAATACTCACACCCAGCTGTTCGCATAAAACATACATGAAGCCGACGACGGGGAATGTTTTGTGTGTAATCAGAAGGATTTGGCACCTACAGCGGAAATGGTACAGTATCAAAGGAGAGGGGGGAAGGTGATGCTCAACTTGACGGACAGTAAGATCATTCCCACCTGCAATTAGAAAGTGCTGCCATCAACTAGGGCAGTGGTTCTCAACCTTGGCTGCACATTAGAATCACCTGGGAATCTTTTTAAAATCCTGATTTCTGGGCCTCATCCTCCAGAAATTCTGTTTCTTTGTTATGGGGTGGGGCCACAACATTAGTAACGAAGAAACCCCAGAGCCACCTCTGCCTTAGCCACAATTGCATAATATCCCTTCTTCTGGATATGCCATAATTTTATAATTCCCCTCTTGTGGGCAGTTGGATTTTTAAAATTTATTCGCAAACTTGATGCCAGAGAAATAAATATCTAAGTATGCTACTGTAGGTGCTAGGATGAACCAGTTCGAAAAGCTTCTATTGGGAGGCTTAAATGTTCAAAATTACGCTCTGTGGGTAGTGGCTTTTTCCAAAGGCCTTTCTGGGCAGAGGGCTGTGGAGTCAGAGGATGCTGGGAATATGTCGCACAGGACTGAGTAATCAGGCTGATCACAGGCTCCTAATAACATATGTGGGCTGAGAGGACAGGCTATCCATCAAGCATGACAGGATGCCGGTAAACCAGGAATAAAGGCCTCTAATCGCTGTAAGGGAGGAAGGCCAGCTGGTTGAGCTAAGCGTTTATTATCCACTAAAATATTCTAGGGCGGCGTGGCATCCTTCCTCCAGGGCCTGCTCTGGGCGGAATGTGGAGAAGAGGCACAGAGCCGAGAGAGGATGACCAGCAGGAAACAGCACCTGACTGACCCCCCTCTGCAGAACTTCATCATGTCCCTGTGGGCTCTTCGGTCCCTCCCGATTTCTGTGTGGCTTTACGCAGCAGAAGCTATCTTTCCCACGCATCTTATTTTCTAAAAAGACTATGTTTTAAGAGCAATTTTAGGTTCACAGGAAAATTAAGAGGAAGGTATATAGATTTCGCATCTACCTCCTATCTCCCAACATGCACAACCTCCACCATTATCAACGTCCCCCTCCCGAGTGGTACCTCTATTAATAACTGATAAACCAACATCGACACAGCATTATCACTCAGAGACCACAATTTACGTTAGGGTTCATTCTTGGTATTACACGTTCTGTGGGTTTCGGCAAAAGTATAATGACATGTGTCCATCAACATAGTATCATATACAAGGTATTTTCACGGCTATAAAAATCCTCTGTCCTCTGCTTTATTCACTCCTCCTCTGCTCTCCCTTTCCCGGTATTTTTGTTATTTTCGTTATATAGATGGCTTTGGAAAATGCTGCAAGCAACTTTCCACACGAGTAAAGAGAAAGATAAACTAGAGTATGCACAATGGATTGTCTATTTCATCTACAGACCTTAGAAGTGTGTTGTCTTTGTTAGTGAAATAGTGCCCCAGAAACCGGTCCCCTCTGCTTAACCCATCAGAAGATTCTATGTAAGGAAGTAGGTGTGAACATGTGGGAAGTGGGTTAGGTGATGGAACCACCATTGACTGGCCACCTGTGCATGTGTGTTAGCTGCTTTGCACTTTGTTGTTACAGTTTGTTCTTTGGTCTTGCTTGTGTTTTTGTTTTTTAATCCTTTAGAATGCCTATGCCTGTGCCTTAATTCTGGTGGGATGTCTACACCATGGGTGATCACTTGGGTCCAAGGCCGGCTGATAAGAAGCCTGCATTTAAGTTCAACATTCGAACACCGACATTAGCTAGAACAGTTTTTTTCTTTAATGTAGAAGGAAGGCATTTCAGATCCTTGCCGGCCTTCCTCAAGGCATATCTTGAATATCATTCAGGACTGTGCTGATTATAAATGTAAAGTATGAGTTGATGAATATAAATTATGAATAGCAATAATTATAGATTAGATTATTGTTATTCTGATGATTTCGGTTTTCAGATTTGTTAGTTCAGAGAAGTTTGATATTAAGGGGATTATTTCTTCCAAATACGCCCTACAGAGCCTCTGGTCCAGCCAGCCTAGTTTACTCATATATGAAACACTGAGTACCTCCCGTGTGTGGGTTAGCAGATAAAACTAGTGCCTATGGGATGGTTTGGCGTTTTTAAAGGGCCTTCATATTTATCACAGACGTAAAGCAGAGTGGTTCAAAGGTGGCCTCAAAGTCAGACCGACGTGGATAGAATCACCGCTTAAGAGTTATGTGACCTTGGGTAAATTAGTTAATCTCTGTTTCTCGGTTTCCATAAAAATAGCGCCTACCAAGCGGTTGTTAATGTGAACACTAAATGAGATGATGCATGAAAAGCACAAACACACAGCTTGGTAGACAGCAGGCTCTCGACCCAAACAAACAGCAAACAAGCTGATGAAGGCAGCAGGTAATACTATTTTCCCACTGGGATGAACCAGCGAAGAGGTTAGTGACTCGCCCGTGGTCACATAATCAGCAAAGGGCAGAGGCAGGACTGACATCCAGGCTGATTCCTTTACAGCATGTAGAAGGCCGTCTTTATTTAGTGCACACACACACACACACAGACACACACACACACTCACTCACTTACGCATGCATGCACACACGTACCCACATCAAATAACAAATGGAAAATGCTTTACATGCTGTTTAGTAACCCTCTTGTCCCCCAGCCCAGTGTGCCAAAATTTTAAAAATTCCCAGGTTTGCCCTGGCAGTTATGGCTCAGTTGGTTGAGTGTCATCCGTGAACAGATTCCTGGTCAGGGAACATACCCCGTTTGCAGACTCAATTTCTAGTAGATGCCATGCAGGATGCAGCCGATTGATGACTCTCTCTCTCTCTCTCTCTCTCTCTCTCTCTCTCTCTCTCTCTCCCTTCCTCTCCCTCTGAAAAATCAATGAGAACATATTTTTTAAAAATTGCTGATAAAATAAATAAATCATTTCCAAGGCTTTTAACTGACTGGTTCTTGACAGGGATAAATTATTATTCTTGCCACAGTTTCTTCATCTGCAAGATGGTGCTAACAAAACTGCCTACTAGTCAGCATAAGAATTACATGTTTGCAATGTGCTTTGGATTTCTTGAAGAAGATGCCACATACGTAGCAGGCATCCCACTAGGGTGGTGCTCCTATATGATTATTGTGACAGAATGGTATCTGAGTCATCAGCCCCTGTCTGTCAGCATCACTCAGCAGTGCAGTGCCAAGCTCAGCGCTAAGTAATACTGTGCCCCTGATTGCTGGCTTTCCTCCAATTTTTTTAAGTCCTTTTTTTTTTTTTAAAAAAAAAAAAAAAAAAAAAAAAAACAATAGGAAATATGCATGTTTATAAAAATTCTTGTGGCACACATATTGAAAATCGCTGAACTAGATTAACAGTCAAGATCATTTCTGTTTTAAGTTCCGTCAACATTCTAAGTTAGAGTGGCTGTTTTTCTCTGCAGGGAAAACTCTCAAGATCTTTGGCTGGGGGGCTGGCTCAGATCAAACATCACCTCCTCCGGGAAGTCCTCCCTGATCATTCTCATCTCTCCCCCACATCCCTTCGCTTCCACCTCGTCACTCTACCCGATCGTCCCCTTTTATTTTCCCTATTTTCTTATTACTCTCTGAAATTATCTTATTCAATTGTTTATCTTCCTAACCCCATTAGAATGTAAGCACCAGGAACGAAGGAACCGCGTCAGCTCTAATAGCCACAGCCTCTCCGGTGTCTGGATTCCTACCCTGCACTTTGTAAGCCCTCAACAAACATTTGCCGAGCGAATGAACAAATGTTTTATTTTCCTCCTTTAAACACCCTCCAATCAGTGGTTCTCAACCTTCTGGCTCTTTAAATACAGTTCCTCATGTTGTGACCCAACCATAAAATTATTTTCGTTGCTACTTCATAACTGTAATGTTGCTATTATTATGAATCGTAATGTAAATATCTGATATGCAGGATGGTCTTAGGCGACTCCTGTGAAAGGGTCGACTGACCGCCAAAGGGGTCGCGACCCACAGGTTGAGAACTGCTGCTCCAAGTGGCCCCATGAATTACCAAGAACTAGGTAGAGGAAGATCAGTATCCCCATTGGCTGGAGTATTAGCCGTTGCTCATGGCAACTACTATTTTCCACGAGTCGTGTCAACGTCCGGCCTGGCCCCGCCCCTTATGGCCTCGCCTCCAGACTGTCGAGCTTTGGCCTGGTGGTAAAAACTGTACTTGCTCTTTAAGCGGCGGGACTTCCGGTCGACGTCGTCCGCGGCCGCCGGAAGGGGAAGTTTCGCCTCCGAACGTTCCCTCGCTCGTCCGAATTCGGTGGCGCCACGTCCGTCGGTCTCCGCCTTCTGCACCGCGACCTGGGCGGCTTCCGCCTGGACACCTTCCACTCTCGAAGCCGGCCGCGTCGAGAAGGGGCCGGGACGGGGAGTCGGGCGGCTGTGCGCATCCTGGCCACCTAAGAGGCGAAGATGTCGGACATCGGGGACTGGTTCAGGAGCATCCCGGCCATCACGCGCTATTGGTTCGCCGCCACCGTCGCGGTGCCCTTGATTGGCAAACTCGGTCTCATCAGCCCGGCCTACTTCGTCCTCTGGCCCGAAGCCTTTCTCTATCGCTTCCAGGTACTGACCGGCGACCGGGGGAGTGGAGACTACAGGTCCCAGGCGGGTCGACGGCGGCGGAGCGTAGACCCACAGGTTGCGAGTGCGCGATGCCTCCTGGGATTTGTAGTGCGACCACTCCAGCGGCTTAGGGCGGGGTCCTGAGGTCCGGGGGAAGCTAAGTGGCGGCAAAGGGATCTGGAGCAAGGGCCTGGATACCTAGGCATGGAGGCTTGGATTGGTCTGGCTAAGGGACTGATTTCATCCTTCTATTAAGATTGTGCTCCCCGCATCTGCAGTCAGAGGAGGAGGCAGTGGGAAGGGAGGTTTGTGATAGTTGTCAATCTGCTGGACGCTGGTGATTAACAGCGTGGGTTTTACCTGGAGAGCAGGTGCCCTCTCACCTTGCTCTGCCACGTGGGTGGCCAGTGGCTGTCAACTTACCCAACAGCCATCTGAGTTCCTTTTATGTTAATGGAGTGGGTCTTTTGTTTTTGTGTTTGCTTTTTTGTAGGAGTGATTTGAGGTCAGAGGCGAAAAGAGTGAGTTTGTTTATCTGCTTTTCCATGCCCTGACCTAGTATCTGGCATGTAGTGTTTGAATATGCAAAGGAATGAGTAAAGAGTTAATTGCTCCAGAAATGGAAGGCCTTATTAATTTTTTAAGCACAAAGGAAGCAGTCCAGAATAACATTACTGGCAAGAGAATATTTCCTGGAGATTGTCTTTACTCACTGGATTCTTTAATCAGTGGCAGGTCAGATATTAAGATCTGATATTAATTTCAACACGTTACTTGGCCTGTGGATAATACTTTTGTTGAACCCCCCTCTTGACTGGCTGTTTCTTAGTCTCCTTTGCTGGTTCCTCATCTTTGTGACCTTTAGATGTTGTGATGAGCCCCAGGGAGCAGGTATAGGACCTCTTCCCAGCTGTAGGTGATCTCATTTACCTTCATGGCTTTAAATGCTTTGTATAATACAAACATAGGTATTTTAAGTCCAGATCTGTCTCCTGATGTCCAGACTTGTACATCCAGCCATCTATTTGAAATTACTATTTGAGAGGCTGATAGAGTATCTCAAACTTATTATGTCCAAACTAAATCCCTTTTCCCCTTTGCCCTATAAATAAATAGAAACGCCATTATTACAGGAACTCAAGCTAACAATCACGGAGTCGACGTTGACTTCTCTTTTTCTCACACTCCGAAGTCAGCAAATTCTATTTACTTTAGACATAAAATCAGAATACGGTACCTTTTCCTTCTTCATTGCAGCCATTACCATTCCAGACTGTTCCTTTCAGTCTTTTCTCTAGACAGCTGGAGTGCTTCTTCTGAAACATAAATGAAGTCCTGTCAGGCCTCTGCCCAGAACCTTCCAGTGTTTTCTCAACTCGATGAGTGAAATCAAGTCCTTTCAGGGTCCTGCACCACCTCTACTACCTCTGTGACCTCATCTCCTCCTACTCTCTATTTTGCACATGAGGGTCCTCAAAGGAATCCTAGCTGTTTCTTAAGTAGCTAACTCATTCTCTCCCCCCTGGCTGTTTGCACACTTTGTTTCTCTGCTTGGGATAACCATGGCTTCCCTCCTTACCACCTTCAAGTGTTTGCCCAAATGCTATCATTTTTGGCAAGGCCTTATCTGATTGCCCTTCTTTACTTTGTGTCCCTTACCCTTAATATTTTTTGTACATATCACCCCTTGGTATTTTGTTAGTTCACTTACCATCAGAAAATAAAGCTCCATGAGATCTTTGTCTTGTTTAGCGCTTTTTTTTTTTTTTTTTTTTTAACCTAGAATAGTGCCTGGCACATAGCAGGTGCTTGCATGGACATTATTGAGCACTGGAGGTACAATTGTGAATAAGACAGAAAAAGTTGCAGCTCCCATGAAGAAAATAAGAGAGAGGCATGTGCTAGATAGAGAGTGATTTAAGGGATGGATTATTTGATAGAGGGCTCCAGAAACACCTCAAAGAAGATATCTGAACTGAAATGGGAGTGGTGAGGAGCCAGCTTTGGGAAGCTCTGGCTCTGGGAACAATCTTCCAGGAAGATGGAATAATAGTAAGCTTAGAGGCAGGCACTAGAAACAGAAAGAAGACTGGATAGTTAATACAGAGTCAGCTGTAAGGATGAGGATTGAAAATGAGGACAGAGATAGCCAGGGGTTAGCGCAGTAACGCGAGAATGGACAGGTAGGCTGCGCTGGATTATATAGGGCTTTGTGGTTTGAACTTTGTTTCAAAGACACCAGGAGAGCTTTGGAGCCTTTGAACAAAGGAGTGACAAGATTGCCTTGACTGCTCTGTGAGATGGACTTAGTATGTGGGTTGGGGGTGAGGAAAGTATCAAGTTAAGGAGAGATGGTGTTTGGGACCAGGTTAGCTGCGACGATAGAGAGAAATGGATGGATTTGGGAGTTGGAGTGGACAGTATTGCAGCTGAATGGATATGAAGGGTGAAGGGTGAAGGAAGCAGAATTCCAGGACGTCACTGTTTTCACAGTGGGTAGTGGAGCCTGTTACTGAGATTGGAAATATTTAGGGAGCTTAGTTTGGGGATGGGGGAAGTTCTGGGTGAAGAGTTATGTTTTGAATTTGGTGAAAAAACTATTAAAATTCTCCCTTTTCAACTACAGATCTGTGCGAGGTCAGATTTTCTTCTTATATCTCAACCAAAACAATATATCACATCAGGTTGAATGGAGAAGATGTGAGAATCTGGTTATCTTCTATGAAGCCAGACATTAAGGAGAGTTGCAGTGTAAAACGTCACGTACTAATCTTACTTTTTTGAAAAATAGCTTTCATAAAAATTTCTGTATTAATATGTAGTGGATTTATTGTTGTTATCCTACGTAAAAACTTAATTTTTTTCCTCAGTGGTTAAAAAAAAAGGTTTATGTTTTGGCCATGTTAAGTCTAGAGATGCTTTTTAGGCATCCAAGTGGAGAAGTTAAGTAGGCAGTTGGCTATTAGAATATGATTTGGGCCTGCAGGAAGAACTGCATACTGCTTTCTACTTATTTGCTTTGGTACATATTTGTCGACTGATTGAACAATTGTACACTTCGCTCCTGGTGGCATGTTGGTTGATGTGTATGTGCAGGAGGAGCAGTGGCTGTCAATCATTTTGTGGGAAAGACCTGGTCAAAACTGTCTCTTGACCCTCCTTGCAAAATCTTGCTCACTTGTCTAATCAGATTAGTAAAATAAAGCCTTCCTAATAGACCACAGGCGCATAATGTTAAAAAGGGTGAACTGATCAGAAAGTCATTCATGTCACACCTTCTGTGATTTTCCCATATTCCTTGCCTTGCTTCTTGGGTGTTTGTTATCTTGAGCCTGGGGAGAAGCTGCTGGCAGGAAGCAGAACAGTGCGCTGGCTGTCAGGTGTGAAAGGACCGATCTTTATACCTTTCTGCTCCTGCTGTGATGTGCCCTTGACCAGAATTGAACCGGGACCCTTCAGTCCGCAGGCTGATCCTCTACTCACTGAGCCAGAACAGCCAGGCTCTTACCCATTCTGGACAAGTTTAGCTTTCAGATCCTCCTGGAGGAACTTGTTTGCAAATGAGAGGCTGAGGTGTGAGGACAAACAGCATGTGGTGTGCTTTCTGCTAGAGGCTCATCTTTTCCTTAGAAGCTGGATCTTTAACAGCTTCAAATAAAGATGGGACGATTGATTTAGCTTGGATAGGTGTGTGTTAAGACTCACTTTACTGTTGCCCCCAGTTCCTAGTCCCTCACACTTAACACCTGACAATCATTTCACTGTGATCAAATGCCTTCATGTTGGTCCCTGATTCGCTAGGAGAAAGGTGGCAGTTTCTTGCTGCTCCAGTGGTTCCTGAGATGACGTTTCCCGGGGCTTTCTCCACACTGATAGTTTATTTCTTTGGAAAAATAACATTGCCCCCTCCGTCTGTATTGTGCTTCTCCATCTATTATCTCACTGAGCTCCCGCAGTCACCCTGAAATAGGAGTTATCCCAGTTTATAGACAACTGCAGTTTCTGTTTCTGTTTCGGTGAGTTGATCTGAGCTCTTGTTTAACTCCTTTGCATAATCTCTACCAAAACACACAGGTAAATGTTAACAGTATCGAGAGTGATTTCTTCCCAATCAGTCATAGCAAATTATTTGTCTTTTTCTGTTAGTATAGAAAGACTATGGGATTTCAAGTAGCTGAGTCATGGTCTTTGGGCCTGACTGGTTGTATGCTCTTAGGCAAGTTATGTACCCTTCCTGAGCCTAAATTTCTTAATTACTGAGTACATGTATACAACCAGCACCCAGGTCAAAATCAGAACATTACCTAAAAATGGGGATAATTTAGTAGCATATTAACTCTGTCCTAAGAGTTTACTCTATTCTAACTCCATTGATTATAAGATGGTCTGTGTATTTAATACAACCTTTGGAGGGAGAGGAAAGTAGATATTACATTTAATTAATATATTGATAGTTAGGTACATCCTGATTTCAGAAACACAAGAATGATATGTTCAAGTTGAGAAAATACGTTATCTACTTTATACCTCTATTATATAAAACATGGAGAAAACTGTTTGCAAAGATCCCAGTAAATAGTCCGGTAAGTAAACTATTTAGAAACAGTGCTGTCTTTATTTATTAGGAACTCTCAATTTGTTTCTTAATTTGTTGCCAAGAATAATAAGAAATGGCACCAAACCTGTGATTTGATTTGGTGCCTATATTTGCCAACCCCTGACAGCAAGCCTAGATGCTTGATTTATGACTGTACCTGGGAAGGAAGACAAGCACACACATAACTGGAAGGACAGTAACTTGGACTGTAGGCTGAGCAGAGAAGCAGCCCCAGGGTTTGGATTAGAACTTGAGTGGCAGGTGTTTTGGTATGTAGTATAGCTTTCCAATCTTTCCTTAGCAGTCCCGTCTACATTAGACATTTCTTTGGTCATAGATAAGGTTGCCTCTTAGACCATGGCTTTGTTTTTTAATTTTTTATTGAGTTACAGTATACAAATAG